TTCTGAAGTTTTATCCTCATATTGGTCCGTCATGCTGCCCATGCTTTCAATGTGATTTTTAATCTCTGGATTTCTGGTTAGAACCTTTTCATGGACTCCGGTTCTTTAGTAAACTGGTCATTCATGTTTCGTATCATTTTGTCTAGCTTGTCTAGCTTCCCACTGGTGTCTTCTGAGAGCACGTGCATCTTTTTGGTTATTATTTCCTTTATATGTTTAGTTACATCTTCTCTAATCCTACTGAGTATCTCTCTGAGCTGTTTTCTAACCTCCTCTGCTATACTTTCAAGTAATTCAGGTGTGTGGCTTACACTCTTCTGCCTTTTTGGTGCCCCCCCCACCACCACTGGATTGGCTTCAGGGGAGCTGGGGTTTTGGGAGGCATTCTGTTGCCTTTTCTTCCCATGTTTCTATTACTTTTGCTTTGTGCTGAGGTTTGTGGATACTTAATCATCTAATGACTGTTGCTAGGAAAGAAATCTCTTTAGTTACTTTTCAGTGATGTACTTGGGCACAGGCCAACTATGATCCTTTGCCACAGCCCCAAGATTTGACCACCTTGATTATTCTGGGAAAGGAGGATGCAGTATAGTTAGTCCAGAAACCAAGTTCTCTGGCAATGTACTCATACTGTTAATGTCACAAAGGCAATCTGGGTGTTCTCTTATAGAGAAATAGCAACAGTTATGTGGCCCTGTTAATATCAAGTGAAACAGTTACAGTAGTATTGCCCAAGAACAATTAGATATCACAGAAGAACCATAAGAAACAGTTATGTACCACCCTTATTCCTCGAGAAGAAACTATCATGATGTAAACATTAAGGCAACCCAGGTATGACACCTAAGATACTGAATGCAACAACTATATTTCTGCTAATAGTAGAAAGTAACTCAACAGTAATTTTACAGAGTTAAACATCAAAAGATTAGCAAACCTTATGGTTATATTAATATGGTTACATATTAAAGATTTAGGGCTTAGGAGTGGAGGGTACAAAAGGAAAGCTTTTTTTAAGTTCTAGGATATGAGAAAGAAGTGGTACAAAGGATCTTATTGAGTGGTAGGAGGTCTACAGAATTGGGCATAGGTAGACAAAACCCTGGCACAAAACAGAAGATACAGTGGTAGGTAGCTCAGTTCATGAACACTCTGGTTTGCAAAGAGATGCATTTGGAGAAATTTTGCTTTTGTTTGTGAGCACTACATTGGCCGATGAACACAGCCACAGCTACCTTTTTTGCATGAACATGCATGTTGCCATTTTCCCCAGAATTGTGGAACAAATTAACTTCATGAATTGAGGTACCATTGTAGAAGAGAAAAAAGAAAGAAATTATAGAGAGTAAAAATAAGAAAGATGCAATTAAGAAGAGAAAATTTTAAAGGGAGAAGAGAAAAACCCGAGAAATAAAAGAAGAAAATAGAGATTAGAAGCAAGGTTGAAGGACAAAGGGTTACCCAAGCCTTAGGAAACTGGTGAAGAAGACAGGAGAAGAAAAAAAAAAAAAAAAAGGAAGAAAGAAAAACATTAAACACCACGTTCACACAACAAATATATAAAAAATGCTAAGCAAACAAAAACTTAAAAAAACAAAGAGAAAAAAAAAAATCTTATTTCAAGCCTGTGGTTATCTTCTGGGGCCTACAGTTTAGTGTATATGCTGCCGAAGTGTGCACAAGGGTCCCATAGCTTTGTGGCAGTGTCCAATTCAAGGCATGACTCTTCTTACTGGTAGACAGAAGGAAGCAGGCAGAGCCCACATCCATGCTAAGCAATCTCCAGCAAGCCAGCAGTGGCATTAGGGTGGGGTACCAGTTCTAGGACTTTCAAATCCATGGTCACCAGAGTGAGGCCTCAGTCATTTAGCTTATAACACTGTCTACTGTCAGCCTGACCACATACTTCTCCCATGGTTGTCCATCACCTAGTCACTGTGCAAGTTTAACACCGGGAGCCCTGAAAGGAAGCCAAACTGTGGCTGCTGTGAGTCCCAGGTTCAGTTAGCCCCTCCCTAGAATAGCATCTGACCAACCAGCGCCTCCAAGGGATATGGCAGACACTTGGACTGGAGTCATTCACCAGCTGCGGAGCACTTGGCATCCATTGCTCTGTTTCACTGATGCGTTTCTCCCTGAAGGCCTCTGGAGTTGCCTTTTACTGTCTCTATAGATTCAATCATCCTTTCTCATAAGCCAAGAGCCAGGAGCTTGGGAAAATAATGTAGATTGCCCCTTCCCTTTTCTGCCTTGTGGTCTATCTCTTCAGTTTCTCTGCAAGTTCCAATTTTCTAGTCAGATCCTTCCTGGGTCTCAGGGATACACCTCCCTCCCTTTTCTTCCCTAAGTTGTTATTTTCGTGTCTGGTTTCAGAATCCTGGAAAGGCTGATTTGTTGCTGCTTATCACTGCCATCTTCCCAGGAGTCACCAATGGTATATAACTCAGTGTGAGGCCCCAAGGCCAATAACTTTGGATCACTGCTGTCGTAAGTTCTGCAGTCTAAAGCTAGCAGAAGCGTCCCAGCTCCAAAAGAGAGAAACAATTTGCCTTTCTTCTGCTTTTGTGTTCTGTCTGGGCCCTCGGCCAACAGGATCGTGCCCGCCTACACTGCAGTTGGATCTTCGCCACCTGACCAGTCCTCCAATTCACCTGCCATTCTCCTCAGGAACCACACTCAGAGACGCACTCAGAAATAATGCTCTACCAGTTCTCCGGATGTACATTAATCCAGTCAAGCTAACACCTAAAATTAACCATCACACCAAGACATATGACAGTCTTCACATACAGTGCCAAGAAAATAATTGCAGCATTCTTTCAGTAAGGGTTGCAACCACATCCTTTCCTCATACCTGTCTAGAGTAAAATTTACAAAACTCAAAACCAAGAAACTGATTTACAGTGGTCCCAAGTTGGTGGTTCTTACGAGATATGTATCTGTCCTGCCAGATATAAAAGTTCACTATTAAGCTACAGCTCAGCTTAAGAAACTCTTGTTAGAAATATAATGGATGACAGAACTACTGATCAGAGGGGAAATGGATGAGTTTTTAAGATAAAGACATCCTGAACAACTACAACCAGTTAAGCAAATAAAAGGGGGAAAAATGATTCCTTACCTCATAACCATCACACCATGCAATACCATACAATCTGGACAAATTAAGAACCTATATGTAAAGGTACACCATAGTACTTTTAGATATAGAACTTTTTGTGTTGAATCAACATAAGCAGTTCTTAGCAAAAGAGCTACTTATGAAAGGCTGGCTAACATGTATTAAAATGAACAGATTCTATTCATCAAAAACAGAGAAACTAAAAAAAAATATACCAACAACACAAAACTCAAAGAATTAGAGTGGTAGGTGGCATCTAAAATTGTCCCCCAATGTTCCCTGCCTCCTGGTGCTCACAGTCTTGTCCCTTCTCACTGTACCAAGAGTCGGTCAGTGTGACCGAGAGCACAGGATGGAAGCAGTAGTTTTTGCCATGAGTTTGCAATCTCTCAGGTCACTCAGCCATGAGAGTGATCTTACAAGTGGACTCAACAGTCTCGGTCAAGCCTTGAGAAGACTACAACCTCTGGAGAAACTCTAGGCCAAATGAGCCAACTATGTTACACAGTAAGAAAGAACTACAACAACCCATCCTTAATTGAGAATTCCCATGAATAAATATGGAAGGACAACCAACAAAGAAAAAAATGGACAAGGATTAAAAAAAAAAAAAAGACCCAAACAAATAAAAAAAACAGGCTTCCAAGAGAATGGGAAACACAGTAAATATGCTCAACAATAATCAGAAGAACAAAACTACAATTAATTGCTTCTGCATCCTTCCAACTGACAAAAATTGGAAAGTCTGACTCCTAAGTGCTGGGCAGACTATGGAATGAGAAAGCGTTAAATAAACTTGGGAGTGTAAAAATACTGTAATAACTAGGAGGTTAAATGTAGCAATGTCTTTAACCCCTAAGTTAGTAATTCCACACCTAGATATGTATTTTAGAGAAATCATGTATCAGTAAACATTCATATGAAGATGCATAAGCAGCATTTTTAGCAAATTCAGGAAAAAGCCCAAATGTCCATCAATGGGAAAATGTATATGTTGTGTATTTTCATATAATGGAGTACTATACATAGTAAAGTATGCCATGCATAAAACATGGATACCCTTACAAAGAGCAGTAAGTAAAATTCAAGTCAAGGCCCAATAGAATAGTCAAAGTATTTGATAAATGAGCTGTTAATAAATCAGTATGTACAAAATATATAAATGAGTCAATGTAAAAATCAAGCAAAATAGTTTTTCAAATAAGCTACATAATAAAACTTTGAGACAAAAGTAGCCCAAATCTTTCATCAGTTACTATTAATTTTCAAAGCATTTATTTAAAAAAATGGTTAATATAATCTCATTTGCTATGGCTGTCACCAGGTAACTGATGCCCCTAAAACTCCACACATGAAACTGCCAACTGTTTCAGTGACATATGTATCCCTCTGAATTCATAGTCATTAGTTTACCAATGTTCTGTCTAGCACCTGAAGAGAGGGGAGGGACATGCAGGTGGTTCGGTCCCACCTCTTCCCTTCCCCAGACAGCATGGTGCCATCCAGGTGCTGGTGCTAGGTAGAGAACAGTCCCTCTTCTCACACCTCAAATGCACAGGGCAGGCCACTCCCCTCCATGGAGAATAAGTTGCCCCACTCAAAACTTCTGAACACTGCATTGTCACAGGGGCCTATACTTCCGTTACCTGTACCTGTCCCCCATGATCTTTTCCTGTCTCCCTGACCACCACGGAAGAACACGGAAAACACCACATTTAGGAAAAGTATCTACGCAGTAAAACTATAAAGAAAAACAAAACAAATTCAGAAGTCAAGTTAATAGCTACTCTTGGAAGAGGAGAAGATAATTTTCCATTTGTTAAACTGGGTGATGCATTTATTATGGTTCATAACATTCATATACACTTTCCACAAGAAACTCATCTCATGGTTGACAGTCTGAGTTTATTAAATAAAATCAGCTTATCACAACCCCCTACCATTCTCCACACAAAGCTGTCACCAGCTTATGAAAATGAGTGAGAAATTCTCTCAAACTAAAACTGTTGAAATGAAGACATGAAGTATGCCTTAGATATCTTCATTTATATCTAAAGAAAGGAATGAGGTTAAATTGATAGGACTTATTCTTAGGAACAGAGACTAGCTCGCTGTCCATTAACATTTCCTCCAAATGCTAAACATTGTCTAGTACATTTAATGGTTGTCATCAAATTTCTCAGAATTTACTCTCCAAAATTTCTTTTCACCTATTCCCAAATATTTTGCATCTTTTATATGTTCTATAGTGTTCCTCACTCTGACAGTGATCATCTTTTTCCACAAGCCTGAATTCCTTTTCCTTTTGTTAATATTGTTATAAGGCCTTTATCTTTCCCTAGCAAACAGAATTTGACTTTGCTGATCCTAGTATAGACAGTTAATCCTCTTAGGCCTAGTGTTCCATTTTTGGAATGGCACATAACAATAGAAAACAGTAAAAATTTTTCTCTTCAAATTCTTGTTCCTTGAAATTTTCTAGGTAACATATATGAATTTCATTTAAAAAACCGCAACCCTTGGCATAAATGGGTTAAAAGTCTTTTTCATTGTCTTGAACTTTTCTCTTCCGAACTTCTGTTCATCTGAAACTATAACATTTGACACTTTTCCCACTTTCACCGTTCTCTGTGTCCCTAGTTCTAAGTTTGGCACTGATCAATAAATTTTCATCTCAACAATTGCAACCTTTCATTGTTCACGATCTATCATTAGTTTTTTTTTCCTTTTGGAATTCTAAAAGTCTGCAGTGTTAGTTTCACATTTGCCTTTTTTAAAAGGTGAACTCTTCTGAAATTAGACTTCCTAAATCTTACATAATGTGTCACTAATTATGGTAAATGTTTCCTTTCCATGCTCTGAGATACCAGGAAGCGCAGGTATCCTCCCTAACTGAACAGGAACCAAGCAGAAACACAGGAAACACTGGCTAGCATGTGGTGGCTAGGTTGGGCGAGATGGTACAGGGGCAGCTCTTATGGGTGTAGAGGATAAAACAGTAGAAAAAGACAGCCTGTGCAATACGGCTATTATTGAACAAAGATAAACCCAAATTATTACATGCAATTTAAATTCACTCTAAAGAAATATTTATTCTTTCCTTTATGAAAGCTTGAGAAACACTAAAACCAGAATAAAATTTCTTAAACTGCTTTCCAGAAAGCTTGCCCCACTTCAGGAACTTACCTGTATTTGTATTATCTGAAATTTAGCGTATTCAAGAACAAAATCATCATATCTCTTTGGTTGACACAGCAGTAAGAGATATACACCTTAACTGACCATGAAAAGATTGTTTTATTCCATGAAAATATTCTCAAGAGAGAACACTATCTTTAACAAAGCCTATACCATTAAGAAATCAACATGTGCACAAAGAGTAAAAATTACTGAAAAATTGATTTCTTTTGGACAATTCACATGTTCAAAATTTAAGAATGATTTAAGAATGTGCAAGTACAAATGTCTTTAATATTGTAATAACCCAAATACAGGTTTCACTATTCCACATGAAGGAACTTGCCTCCTACGGAAGCAAGTCCTGCTTTTAGAAAAACAAACAGTAGCTTGAAAAGAACAGTTAGTCCTTACAAGAAAGCCTTAAACTTTGCCCTCTCTGGCTGCTAGCCAAAAAAACATAAGCACTTCAGGCTTTGTACAGAAGACAAACATAGCCAAATCACATTTCCTTCTCATTGCTAATCTTTAAAATAAAAATAGCACTAGATTTTAAAACTACTCCATGTAGTATGTCAGTATTGAATAATATCACATTATATAAATAACCCTGTAACGAGATTCAATATCTAAACTTTATAGTTTGCTAGCCTCAAAGGTAATACACTATAAGTCAGGTGTGTAACAGTGGTGTACTTGCTCTTACGAAAGCATTAACTTTCACACAATTGTCATTTAGCTTTAGTATAACTTGTATGATTCAAATAACACTGGGAAAAAGTATTAAAACAGCCACACAGCTTCTAAAATATTGCTTAAAATCCAATAATACACAAACCATTTCACGTTCTCTTTCTCCCCTCAAAACAGTAAAGAACCAAATTAAGAAGTTTTAGTGGTACAAATAACCCCCCACCCAACCCACATCCCTATTACAACACCACTAAGAAATTAGTTCAGATACAAGTCATGAACAAAATCACAAATGTGAGGCAAGGACAACATGAGCAATAGGAGCACTAACGACAATTATATTTACAAGTATAAACATACAGAAATTCCCACTTTACAAGTAAAAGTGCACATAGATCATTACGAAGTTTCACTAAATTTTATCTGGTTCAAACAAAAGCATCACTTGGAAAGAGACTATCGTCATAATAATCAAATGAGTTCATCATAACCCTAAATTAAAAGACAATGGGGGAGGTCCATAAAACTTCTCATAAAACACTGAGTAAAGTAAAATGGACAGGGACATGTCTTTAGTTTGATGCATAAATTTGAAGATGCACCATTTGTACATGGTAGAGCTCTAAAAGCCACCTACCGAGGCTACATCAGCAGCTGCAGCAGTGCTGCAGAGTTAAAGGAGGTCGCACTGAGCTGACACCAAAGCCCTTTGTGGGATACTGTAGTGGTAGTGTTGGCAATCAACAGATTTAGGCACTCTAGTTTAAGGCAGCATTTGAATGGAAGCAGCTGACTTCTGACAACAGTCCTTTGTCTTGAGGTGGTGAGTATCTTCTGTATTTATTATGCCAGGACTTCAGTGCTAACTATTAGATTCTTCCCAGAAAGATGTTGAAGATGTATCACGTTTCAAAGAGTTCTTTCAACTGGGCAGTAGGCTAGAGCAGAGATGTTTTCTTTTTCTTATCATCAACATTTCAGGTTCACAGACTATGTCTTCATAATGCCAAAACTGGAATGTTTGCAGTGGGGAAGTTACAGCAGCATACACAAATACTAATATGGAAATATTAGTGCTAGAGATGTTGGACAAAGTGATTTGTACTACAAATGTAAAACAAAACAAAGGTTTTGACAAGAACAAGGGATTATAAAGACATGCCTGAAAAATCTAAGTCCAATCACTCTAGACATGCAACAGGATGTTAAGCAAGCACGGAGGTGGCGCAGGCAGACACTGACAAATGGCAAGGATTCTAACAGACAATGGTCTAAACACCAACTGAAACAGAGCTGGGTAGAGACGGTGCTGTTGGGACAGCCAAGCAGAAGACAAAGTTTATATGACAGCTCTGCACTCTTTCTGACTTGGACATCAGTAAAATAAGTGGAAAAAGGGTTAGCCATTGTCGGCTTTTTTCTTTCTTCTATGTGAATAATTGTGAACTAGGAATTTAAGGTTTGGAATTATGATTTTTAAAACAATGTATGGAAATGCTAATGGAGTTAGTAAAAAATAATCATGTCTGCATGCACTCATGCAACTTGCTCTCTCGCTCTCTCTTTGAGCCTGACCACTCTAATACCCTCCCCCCAAAAGCAGCTGCATGTAACCTCCTTCAACATCTTGCCCATTTCCTCAGAAACCCTCTTCAGGAACCTGCAGTCCAGGAGGAAAAAGAAAAGAACAATTACTGAAGACCTTTGGTAAGACCAAAAGTGGTGTTCAGTTTAAAGTATCTGCCCCAAATGTCTCTAAAATCTCCCTTTACTTCCCCACACAACTAACTCAGTGATTACACAACCAATGCTGCATGGTCTTTGACTGTACAGTGTTTCCAATAAATGCTTACTGAAATTAAATGGAAAAATAATGTGTCCTAATAACTGATGATCCAGCTAAATTAGGCACAAAATGGTTGTATAGATATCTTCCTTCTACTCAGTCAAAACAACTGTTTGTCTTCTAAGTAATACTTGGAAGATCTTCCCCTCCATTCAAGATTTCCTCAGCCTTCATTGATTTAGAATCTATTTTCTTATGTGTAACTACTAAATAGTTACTAAAATGATAGTCCCAAAAGACATTTTCAAGATAAAAAATATAAGCATGAGTTTCATTTGGAAGGAAGTTTATACCTTACTGAAAATTACAAGTAAGCCTGAAAAAACTTTTCAAGTCTCAAAATAAAGCTATTTATTCACATAAGAGCTGGATCAGATGACTTTGTAGATTTCTTGATTAGCCTACTACTTAAATAGAGTTTGCACTAAGTACTTATTTTCTTCCTTTAGAAAACCAAAGAGTAAGGAGGGAAATGAAAACCACTGTATTATTGTTTTTTACCCAGTTATTCAACTTTTGCTTCCTAGAAATTGAAGTTACAAATTGTAACTCCTAGAACAAACCACTCTCTTTTTTTTTTGGTACCAGGAACTGAACTCAGGACCTCATGCTTGCCCGGCAGGCACCATGCCACTGAGCTACACTGCTGGCCCTGAACCACTCTTTTGGGAGACAGCTTTCTATAACTTTTCAGAGCAGTTTTACTTATTTAAATTCACACAGTCACTGTTTTCTGACATAAAGGGGATGAGGGAACATTCTACTTATGGATTCCTGCCCAATAATCAAGTTCTTTTATTTATAAGGCAGAAAAACACAAATTCTTCACACAGACTCAAGCAGGACATAAAGCAAAAGGCATCAATTAAGTTTCACACCAACATTACTCAAATGATAAGGCGTCACAGCAACAGTTACTTGTGGCAATATTCATACCTTTAAGACCAAGCTTGTACTCAGCTCACATAGTGAACAATAAACTGGGATGCCATTTTAAGTTTTCTTATTTTTTCTGACCTGTTGAATGTGTTTTTTATGTTACTGTTCTTAGGGCACAAAACTCTCTGATTAGTTTAGATATAAGTTACTGCACCTTTACTGTTTTTCTCTAGAGTTACATCTATGTATGATGTGGGAACGTAGCCTTCTTCACCATTCTGTCTCCGGGCTCTTGTCCATCCATCACCTTTGTCCTCCTCAATAATGTATAGAACTTCACCTTCTTTCATTGCCAGAGTACCTTCATTATGTCCTACATGAGAGTATGCATAGCACAAACATAATGTAAGCATAATGATTATTTTTAATAAAAGTTAGAAATGTAACACAAAATAACATGAGACCCTACTAGATTCCAATTTGCTCGCCCAGAAGCCACTGACTCTCTTGAGCAACAACATCTCTGTGATGCTTTTCTCATACACATGGTTTAAACTACTGTAAGTCTGTGAAGCTAGATTACTATCATCCCACATAACAGATGAAGTAACTGAGCCACAATACTATTATATGATTTGACAGGGTAGTCTAAACTTCTATTTCACTCTTCCAACTCCTTCTCCAAATTTGAGTAGTGCTGTTGTCTACAAAATTTAAGAGTTAAGGATCAGGAAAATAGTAAGAAGACAGTGAAAAAGTGGGAAGGGGTGCAGAGAAAAACCAAGTTTAACTCTGATGATGGCAGAAGTAGAATGGCCACAAAACACAAATTTTCTTTAAGACCTCATCAGCACCAGGACTCCCTTTCAGAACGCTCTTTCTTTTCACCCCCAACCACTGCCAAAGTGCTTGGCAGTAATGGTTTGCATAACTTACTCTTCATTCAATATGTGCTAAAATCTGTTTTACTTTCTAGAGTCCCTCATGCCAAGATCTTTGTAAATATATTATCTCAGATGAGGAGTAACTAAAGACTTTATTTTTTTTGTTTTGCAGGGGTGGGGATCAAAGATCTAGTGCCTCACACATGCCAGGCAAGTGCTTTGTCACTGAGCTACAACCTTAGTCCTTTTACTCAATTTTAAAACCAACAAAATGGTTGAGGGGAGAAGACTTTACATCATATACCCCTTTAAAAGAACTTAATTATCAAAGTGCTATGCTGCTTTTGTGTTAGTTGAGGAAAACAATTTTTGAGGTCAAGAGGAGGAAGTGTAACAAAATGTGCAGAAAAGGGCCACAATTCCTTACTTCCCTCAAACAGCTTGTTCTCCAACTATCACAGGGTAAGGGATGGCACAGTTAGAAGCCACCACTTTCTTTCCCACGGTCATCTGAAAAAGTAGCCAGCAGAGTCAGGATATGACAGCTTTCAGCTATGCCTTACACTTGTCTTTAACGTTTATAAGCTACAAGGAGGAGAATGAAGTGATATAAACCAGCCACCTACTTCCTGGGTTGGGGTATATGCTCAAGGCCTTTCAACCATGTTAAAACATGCAAGTATTACCAAGTTCAGGAGGGAAAGTCTGTATCAACCAAAGTTAGCAGATAATAATCTCTAACAGAATGTTGATAACATAGATAATTTTCTTTCAATTCCAAGTGTGAGGTTTGGGGGGTGCGTAGGGGGTCCCTGTATAATACAATTAAAAGTATGCATACAAATGAATAGGATTATAATTTTCTAACAATGTACTATTTAGGTAAGCACACTAAAATAAGTGACAATGAATTTAGACTTTATAGAATTTATATAGACTTTATAGAATTTATCAAATATAATACATTAAGAACATCGTACCATCAAAAGGATAGATGGCTTTGCAGTGTCCAATAGCAGGCAAAGGATCATCATCCTCAAATTCATCATCAAACTCACTGTGATGACTATGCTGTTGGGGTGGCCCACGAACTTCTTGATTGGCATCATCAGTGTAACTTCCCTCAGGACTAAAAGAAAATATAATTATGTCTGATCAAATATGACAAACGTGAGAGCTCTTCGTGTATTCTCTGTAAGTTGATCGCCTCAGAATCAATTCAGACAATTAGATGGCATGGTTTCATATTAAGCCTATTTTCTTAGATGTTGACTATATAAACTGTTTCTAACACAAATGCTTCTTAGTGAGTTTTTGATAATTTTATTTTAGGAACTTCAGCAATGTTCTAGGGATATAGCAATATTCAGCAAATACACCTCTCTGTCACTGGGTCTAGGAACAACATGGACAAACATAGTAGACACTTGTTTTTCCATAATCCCAGATTCATCATCCCCTCTTCTGGCAAAAGTATCCTCAGACTGACCCAGCTCACTGTTCCATTAACAGTGGCTGTTAATACTGTGGATCCAGCAGAGGGACCATGAACACTGCACTCATACGGTGGAAGTGAGGAGTTCACCAGTAGACCTGTAACCCAATCAGAAATGAGCCATGCACAAGGACCTCTCCCTGGCACTGCTTTAAGAGAAGCTCATTCCCTTTTCACTTTGAACTTAGAGAAAACTCGCTAGAGCTTAGGAAGATCTTGAGGTACAGGCTTAAAATGAAGACCACATAGTAAAAGGGAGAGCTGGACAGAAGTGATGAAAATTGAGTCCCACAGATCTCACTGGGCTCTCTTTCACCATCAAAGTCCATTTTTACTGTAGGCCAGTATCAGTAAAGTACTCACTACATTGCTTAAAACCAAAAGACTTCTAATTCCCAATTAATCATGGTAAAGGGGAAGTAACTTAGAGAAATCCTAAATAGGTAATAAAAAGTATATTTTATTTTTCTTAAAAATATTTCAAATCAAAGAAAAAAAAATTAAATTTTTTTTTGCTAAAATGTCAAAGACTGAGATTTAGCAGCACTTTTCCATAAGCCCAGAATCCTCATTCTTAAATAATAGATACCAGAAAGGCTAGATCCTTTTAGTCTGGAATTACAGCTAATAATAAAAACCTGAAGAGATACAGTCTCAAGACGTGACAGGAAACAGTGAAGGAGAGGGAAGAATTAACATTTGTGAAGCATGTACTATTTCCAGGTATTTTGTTTCTTTTACTACTAATGACTCTCCAGGATGTGTATTTAAATCTCCAGTTTAGGAAATAGATCCAGGGAATATTAAAGATGAACTTGTTCAAATTACTCAGTAGTAAACCAAGATTTGACATTAGATCTCACAAATTCTTCTCTAAATTAAGTCCTAATTTGTGGGTTTTTATGGTGAGGGAGCAGGAAGACATTACACCAAGGAGGAAATGTTGCAAGTAGTACATGGAAACTTGGCAAAATGCCAAATGGAAACCGATCTATCCTAACAATATATACCCCATTTTTCCTTTACAAAACCGAGCAGTTGACAGTAAAATTTTTCTTTGGCATAAGTTATCAACTCTACCTAAATAAAATCTTTCTATGCGGAGGTTCCTGTGCCTTGAGATTGTAATTCCAAGAATCTTTTATGTTCTTAGATCAGATTACTTTTTAGATGCATGATAAACTAGAATTAAACAGCAAGAAGAAATATCATACTTCACCTGTAATCAATCACTTAAAGGAACAGAAAATGACTTAGGTTCAAAAACCTGAAGTTATGAAATGCCAAACTTTTTAAATTAGAGAACCATGGAAGAAAGGGAGAAAGAGAAAGAACTGTATGAAGAAATAGCACTGTATGAAGTTTAGGACAAAGGTGTGAAAAATGAGGGGAAGAAAAAGACATACAAATTTTTAAAGTTTTTAAAATAACCTTTCTCGTCCCTGTGTTACAAGATGATTTATATCACTGCTATGTCTTCTGTCTCCTCTACCACCTGTTTTGCCTTCAACTTCAGAGAGCCATGCCTTAGGGAAAAATAAATAAATACATAAATAAACAAGCAAGCAAGCAAGCAAGCAAACAGACTACGAGTTCAGTAAGTCTGCTCAAAAACCCACAAGATAGCCTACATTTGAAATGTGCTTTGAGTTGTTTTTGTTTTTGTTTTGTATTTTTGAAACAGGGTCTCAGTATGCAGTTCAGGCTGGCCTTGAGCTCACTTTGTAGCCCAGGCTGGTCTCAAACTCGCAAGGATCCTCCTGCCTCAGCCTCCCGAGTGCTGGGATTACAGGTGTGCGCCACCACGCCCGGCTTGCTTTGAGTTGTTATAACTATTGTGAGTCTTAAGAGGCAAGAAATGTTTATTCCAATCTGGTTAATAACCAATGTTGCAGCTGATTTTTAAAACACAGCATAAATGTGTACCTTTATATCAAGGTTTTAAGAATGTCTACTGAAGAATTAATCTATATATATGACATATAGATTATGGTATGCTAATATATATATATATATATATATATACACACATATATATATATCATGATGATACTTTACTTGCAGATCATCAATCCTAAAAATAAATATTAGAACTCACTTCTAGCAAAAACCAATCTATCATAATAACGCTTATAAAAGTATACCTCAGACAAGTGATGAATAACAAATGTACCTCATTCTTGTGGATTTCCATTCGCAGGCGGTCAATATTATTCATTGTCTCTGCTAATTTAGGCTGCAAACTCCCTGGATCCCCCATTTGTGGATTTTTCTCATATACATCTTTCATTTTGTTGAGTGCATCTCTGAAAAAGGAAAGGAAATCATAGAATTAATGTGATTCATGTACTTTTAGGTAGGAGTTTCACTTAACTTGGATGACTCAACTCTAACTTCACCTTAAGTAGCGTCACATCTCTTTAAGTTCAGTCAAATGTTACCTGACTAAAAACGATTTGCATAAAGCTGAAAATGTATATAATTTATGGAAACTATCTTTTAAACACTAAGTAATATCAAAAAGTACAGATTTCATTTCTCATTTGTTTTCTATAAACAAGGATTACATACACACACAAGTACAGGTTTAATAAATGGCTGGTAAAATACTCAATATGCTTATATTCGTCACATCCCTAATCAAACTCATTATATCCCCACCCAGCTACACTATTTTACCAGTGTTCTCCAGTTCACAGAACGTCACCATCCTCCCCCTCACCTATGCTAGAAATAGAATGCCATCTTTAACTTGCCCCCTCTTTAAATTCAATCACTTGTCAATTCCTCTTAACCCAGCTCCTCTTCTTTAATTATATTACCATAGGTTTCACCCAATCAGTGTCCCTGACGCTAACATCCAACACCATAGATGAACACGCCTTAAAACTCTTTCCCTTCTTGACCTGGAAGAGACATTTTCTTTTCCTCCTCCTCCTCACCTCTGCTTTCTTTCAATATCTCATTGGCTCCTTCTTCTCTGTATTTAATTTTTAAATGTCTGTTACATAAAATGACAGAGGTTTCTTCTCATCTCATTATCTATTTTCAGATGATTCTCAAATGTCTATGTGCAGTCCCTTTTCTCTAAGTTTCAAATTTCTATTTCCAACCCAACTGGATATTTCCCACATATATTTTTCACATATTTCAAAATCAACAAAGGTAAAACCATATTTTTGCCCCAAACTTAGTTTTCAATTTTTTTTTTTTACTGTTCCAATTACCTCTATAGCTATTGAGCTACAAGCTTTTTCTTGTTTAAACCTCCATTTTTCTCCTGCACAACATCCAGTCAAGTACAAAGTCCAATCTATTTTGGTTTTGAAATGACTTCCTACATCTACTTTTTCATTCTTTTCTCATGGCCACAATTTAATTTAGGACCTTGGCAATTCTTGCCTGGACTGATATCAAATCCCCTAACTTGACTCCCTACCTCTAATCTCCTTTCTAGATGATCTACTCTTCATGCAGCTTTCAATGACCCATCTTTAGGATACAAATCTGCTAGTATATACCTTCAACAACTTCTCATGATTCCCCAGTATCTACAGAATTCCAAACAAAATGTTCAAGATATTTCTTACTTCATTCTATACTTTTTCACACTCATGTTCTGTCGTTATACTCCACATTTCTAACTAAGTCACCCAGATTAAACTCCAGGCACGTCAAGTATATTTCTATGCCATTATTGTTGTCTTCCCCACTTTTTTTGAATGCTACTTTCATCTCCCTCACTTTATCTGACAAAATCCTTTTCCCCCTTTAAGGTCCAATTCCAATGCTCTGCAGACAAGCCGACTAGTGTCTAGAATGTTAACTCTGACATTTACCAGCTACCTAATCTTAGACAAAATATGTATTTAGTTGACACCCCGTTTCTTCACCTATATAATGGAACAATAACCTGGGAAGGCTATTTAAATAATTCAGTTGACATATAAAATGCACAGTTCAGTACCTGATACAAAAATCACTCAATAAACATTCATTTCCTAGACTACAGCCTTCTTCTCTTCTCCCCACTGTCTCCTCAGTAAAGTCCTGCCTAATTATCTCGGTAAAATTTCATAATTCTTTCTTCTAGGAGCCCCTAGAAGTTTATTTATATCTATTAGCACTTACAACAATCCAGCCTGTGTAAAAATTATGGCCTAGGTCAGTCTTATCCTTCCCAAGTAAAATGTGAACTAGCCTGTCTCCATTTTTATACGCTTATAGTTCCTGGTGTGAACTAAAAGCAACAAATATTAAACTAAATGGTATAATTTTCCACACTATTTTTATGTTGCTCTACTAAGAAATAATTTTACTAAATACTATTTATACTAATACAGTTTATCTTATTGTTGACAGACGCCATATTTGTAAGCTGCCTACTCACTAAAATTTATTTGTAACCTAAAGCTGGCATTCGAAGTACCTTCCTGCTCGTCATGGACATGTGCAGGACAGAAGAACTTGAGTCACTGGATGCGCATGCAAGCTCCCAGCTAAGGTCAAGCAAGGAAATATTTTGCCTTCCTGTTTCACCTGTCACACTCTGAATGTCCTTTTTGCAATTTAGTTAGTGTTATTTTTTTCCACTTCACTTTTTGTTAGTGACCTTGGTGTTTACAGCAGCTCCTACACAATGCTGTGTAGTGTTGCACAAACTCTGTTTAGGCATGAATTACAAATGCTACTGGCAGAGCTCAAAGTTAACTAATCAACACTACTAAACAAGGTATTTTTAATCAGAAACATACACAAGACAAAGTTTTATATATTTGTATGTATCTATCTGTTGATGAAAATGTTGGACCAGTGGCTACCAAGGGCTCAGCCTTATATTTCCTCTAGGAACAATGTTTCAATATTTAGTAATTTAGTGCTCCCGATGACTCTGAACCATTAACTACTGTGAAATATGAGAATCAATTATAATATTTGTCTTTTTTTCTTTTTTTTTGGTACTGGGAATCAAACTCAGGACTTTGCATTTGCCAGGCAGGTGCTTATGCCACTGAGCTATATCTCCAGACCCCTAATATTTGATTTATGATTAAGCATACCATAATACCTGATATATAATTCTTAATACCAAATCTTCACTCTCTCATGCTAGAGGTCTTGCTAGGCAAGTAGTCTACCACTAAGCTGTATCTCCAACCTCACAATCATCTTCAGTAAAGATATATACTAAGTCACCAATTCATTTTAGTAACCCTTTATTCATCATAAATAACTCTACGTCCATTTTTTTAAAAAACTGAACTAAAGAAAACGTAAAAACAAAAAAGTTACAAAGTGAACAAATGTTTGCTAACATGTTTTACAGCAAATAATTATAGGCTCAAGTTGCTAGTGAGGTCAATTTATATACCAAAACAAAATGAAAATTTATCAAAGTAGAAGAGGTGGTTAGTTCTGATGCAACTACTCTTAATAATGCATCATCAAATCATTTTACAAGTTTATAGAAGACGTTAAGTATATACTACAGCAACTAATAAAAAAGTGAAATGCAAAAACAAAACAAAAAAAAACCTTCTAGCACTTCATTTTTACCTATGACATGGCAACCATAAAGTTTTTCTCAAATGATACTTCAATCAGAGCCAGACATGCTGGCACATGCCTGTAATCCCAGCAGTTGGGAGGCTAAGGCAGGAGGATCACAAGTTCAAAGCCAGTCCAGACTGTGAAACAATGAGTTCAAGACCAGCCTAGACTATGTACTAAAACCTTATCTCAATTAAAAAAAAAAAAAAAGATATTTCAATCAAGAAATATGATTGGTGCTGAGAACTGAATCCAGTCCCTCAGACATGTTAGGCAAACATTCTATCACTGAGCTATATTCTCAGTCCAGATTATGAGATTCTGAAATGTTCCATATACCACATTTAGACATATCATTTAAAATAGACTCTTAAAAAATAATAATGATACAGAGAAATTAAGGAAACACTACTTTTGGTCTGATTCTTTCTGTAGTTCCCTGTTAAGTTCATCAATGCGCTGCTGAAGTTTTTTACGTCTCTGTTCTGGTGGCAGATGACTAAAATCTTCTAGTGCTGGGCCCTGAAAAGAGAGTCTAAATCATTATTAAAGACATTTTCAGAAAATTTTATTTTTTAAATGTACTTGTTTCAAAGTAAGATTATTTTAATCTCAAATTTGCGTCAAACCCTTTTCTTTAAAAAAAAAAAAAAAAGGAAATTTACATAGATACGTTAATGAACACAATTACATTAAAGAGCTCACATTTCAGTCACATTTTTAAACCACAAAACAGAATAGATAAAAATATCACCACATTCAGGTAACTGGTAATTACTAGGATCACATTGCTTTCAAGTCTTGGCAGAGTTAAAATGAATACATATGAATCTTCTTACAGCAACAACAACAAAATGGAAACACATAACATTTCTCATCTACACAAATTATTAGACTACCTTCCAACATCAAACCCATTGCTATAGCACTTAGAATGCTACAAATGTTCAAAATAAAAATATGAGTTTACATGATTGATTTAACTAAGCAACTTACCTCATAATGGCAACTGATAATTGAAATATGCTTCAATACTACATACAGTCTTTGGTTACACTCACTAAACCATTCTTTGGAATCAAAATGTATCTGATCACTTAAAACAAAAACTAGACTTACCCACTGAGTAAAATTATACTCATACACAGAATATATTTTTAATTTTCCTATGTAAACTAAATAAATTACCTCAACTGTACTTGAAAAAAAGGTAAAGCCCAAAGAAAGGATATAATACTTCTGTAGGAAGGACTCTTGGTATCTGAAAAATTCTTAATGGCTTAATAATCAAGTAACTTAGAAAAAGTGCTAGTGTTTAAAATGTAAGATTTTATTCAAATGACATCTTTTTCCTCTTAAACACTATTTTGGTCATTGTTACTCAAGCTACATTATTAGAGATCATAACAGAACCGTTATCAGCAACTATTGAACTCAATTAATATAAATTACTTTTTATATACTCTAAAAACTGATGACAGCTATTATTCTTCATTTTTCTTTCAAAATGATTATTTTGAGAATAAGAAAGTTCAGTGTTTTTCAGAGTTGCTGAAATGGGCTCTCAAAATTCGGGCCACTTACACCTGTAATACACACTGCATAGCTTTATTCCCTCATCTGTAAGAATGCTTCAGTTACTTTTAAAATGAAAAATCTCACTTTTAGGATGAGTTATAATCAAACGTAACATTTAATTAGTAACAGAATCCTCAGATTCCTTCCCCAGTGGTCTGCACACTGGACATTCAACAAGCTTGACAACCAAAAGCAGAGCATCCTAAGTCACTGTCGTTTCTTCTACACCAGTCACTAGAAACAATGTCAACCAAATCTGATCTAAATATATCAATCACAAAATTTCCTGTGAAGTTCCTTTAAATTCAGTAGTTAATTGTCAACATAAATTGTTAGTTTATTTTAATTTGGGGTCAAGTTTTAAATTATATGTGTGCCAAAGATAAGCTTCTAATTTATATTTTTAAAAATATTTCTGAAAATCTCAAAAAATTAATTAATGAAACCAAGAAATACACTGCAATGTTGTAGCCCTTTCTGGGATAATATTATAATAAATTGACAATTATCCACACAAGTAAATCTCCAGATTGCCACCTCTCCCTAAATTAGAGCTTATCATCAAATTTATTTACAGCAGATACCTAATCACTTGCATTTCAAATACCCCATTTGAGTATTAGATTATATTCATATTTCCTATGAATGTAAAGAAGCCTTTTAAGGCACTTAATGCCGTCTTACTAAAAGGGAATTTATAAAAGACTGAATTTTAAGTATCTAAAAAAAAAGTAGTTATTTTCCAAAATCTATTTTAAATAGCTTCCTATACAGGCTATTCCAATAATTTGGTAGTTTGTTCTTCACAATGTAACTTCACTAATGTGTTCAAAATAAATACATAAAGGATCATCCCAAATATACACACATACACACACACTCTTACACACTCACATCCATAATAATTAGGTTATTTATGCTTCTGTTCCCCTTCAGTAGTATAGAAGAATAGAACACTTACTCCATAGTAGAAAAAAATTTCTTCTTTGGGAAAAAATCTAACAACACTTATGATGAGTTATAAATCAAATTAATACGATCTTTTAAAAAGGTTCTAACAATTTTTGCTAAGTTTTTATTCTGCATATAATGAACTTTTGCTCTATCATGTACCTTTTCAAATATTTTTAACTATAATTTCATTCTTCCCTGTAACATGGCAAGAACACTCTACCTAGTAACGTTTAAGAACTAAAACAGGTTGTTGACAATTAACCACAATATTTTCTAATCTATGACATGAGAGGTACTGGCATATGTTGGACTATGGATTAAACTATAAAAAGTAAAAACACACACAAAGTGAAAATGTGGGATGTATTTTACCACTTTTTTTGAATTAAACAAAACAATGTTTTGAGATTACTTAATGTTGGCACAGTATATAGATCAGCACACAAGGCTTACCATCTTCACCGACCACTGAATAGTTCAATGGAAAACAGAAAGAAATGGTAAATTATTTACATGAAACTATAATACAGAAGATGCAATAACTTACAGGTTTTGCTTTTTTTTTTACAATATTGAACTAAATCATGTACATTTCACAATCCAAACAATTATGCCGGGGTGGGTGGGGGGCACAATTTGAAGCACATTTTGGGAAAGCAAATTACTTGCAAAAATAAGCAGACACTGATGATAATGGGCAGATATTTTCTAAGTTTAAATAAAACCCCAAAATTATCATTCTATCAGTAATCATCCACTTTCTTTTAAAGAGAATTTTTACATAGATGAGTTTTATTTATATAGATTCTCAAAAACCCTATCTGAGAAGTTGAATATAAAAGATCTAATATTAGCCATTTAAAAAGAAACACTTCATGAAATATTAAAAAATAGAATATCCTTCCCAATGCATTAAAGAAAATGTCATTGTGTAAATTTTTACAGTTCAATAAAGACTATTTTGAGTTTAACTTTATGATGATTACATGAGGGCAACATTTTTAGTTTTAAAGTGCCTTTTCTTAAATGCATGGACGTATCAAAATTATATTATTATCAAAGTAATAAATTTAGCTACCCAGAATCAAGTTTTTTATGACACATTTCCTGATAGACACAGACATATGGGGTCAAATTTTGCTTTTAAAATAGTTTCTGTTTTTCAGTTTTTATTCTGAAATCCATACACTTAAAAAATACTAAAAAATGTAACTTTAATTTTAGAGGACTGATTAAAATTTATTCTTCCTAACAATATAAAGTGACACCAAGTGTAAAGAAAGCAACCACAGTGCTCTTATACAATATAAATGCCAAACACACACACACACACACACACACACACACACACACAGTGTCCCAGAGTATACAGCAAACTTTACAGAATTAGTCTTTACACTCATTACTTCCAGCTGGCAGCCTTTAAATTATTCATTTTCCCCAGATCTATAAATCATGATTTTTAATTTCTGGTACTGAGGATTGAACCCAGTGCCTCACACATACTAAGCAAGCATTTTACCACTGAGTTACACCTCAGCCCTACCCCCTTTTAATCATTTTATTTTAAACAAGGTCTCACAGATTTGCCCACACTGGCCTTGAACTTGTGGTCTTCTTGCCTCAGCCTCCCAAGCAGCTGGGATTACAGGCATGTGCCACCACACTTGGTTTAAGTCATTATGTTTTAAGAGAAGGTGGTAGAGAGAGGTCAGATAGAATTTCACATAAAAATATGAATGAACTTTAATAAATATCTGGCAAAAATATCTACCCCTTATCTCTGATGAGTTGACCATATATATTAATGGTAATGAAGGTAAGAAAAGATGACATTTGCTATTCATTATCTTTCTGAACTAAGCTTAACATTCTTTAGACTGTCAGTAGTTTTAAGGAACAAAAACTATTTTGCTATGACAAAATTTCTCGTAAGGAAATAAGAGGGTCTAAATTAAGGAAAGATATTTATTGTTTTCATCAAAATGCTGTTATATGCTATACAGAGAGGCCAAGAAACAATATCTGAATTATTTATTTATTCTTATGACAATTTTTACTAGCTAAATTTCTGAGGGATATAGTTTTCCTCATTTCTGTATTAATATCTTTTAGAGAAAACATTAAGATAATTATAGCTGAAAACCAAAGATTTAACATTTATAACTAATTTAGTTTCACTCTGAAATGGAAAACAATCCTACAGCCCAGTAATCTTGGATTTAGGAATGCAAGTTCTTTGTAAAAATATTAGAAACATTTTGTATACTTATTAAAGTAGTATATGTTCAATGCAAAAATGCCATACTACCATATACAATTATAATAAACCTACAAACTAGAAAATTTCATATATATATACCTACTATATCCTATACGAAAGAGCTAAATAAGGAAATCAGGCAATTAAAATAGGTCAAAATCCTGAGAATTGTACTCTGAATATATTAAAGTTAAAAACTGGAAGTCTCTAAGGTCATAAATAATTTAGACAAAAAACATGAGCTTGGGGCTGGGGATTTAGCTCAGTGGCAAAAGCGCCTCCCTGGCAAGCGCAAGGTCATGAGTTCGGTTCCCGGTACCGGAAAAAAACCAAAAAAAAAAAAAAAAAAAAACATGAGCTTATTATTGCAGATGAATCTATTTTATAGAAAGGAGTATCTAGTGAAACTCAAATGAAGTAGTAGAAATTATCAGTGTGGATGTCATAGCAGGCAAGTTTTGGTATATTCCCTAAATATCTACAACACTTGATGTCAAAGGAAGAAACTATAGATCCTCATTCTTCAGAAGGAATCCACTGGTACCCTTGTCAAACTTAAAATTATTGGTCTAATACAGTGGTGGCGAACCCACAGCACACATGCTTCAGCTGGCTATTATCACCGAAAGCTCTAATGGTTTACCATCACTGGTCTAATACAACATTTCTCATATCCTTACTAATACAGGGTACTGTATAAACGATTTTTCTTTTAAAAAAGAAAATTATAACTTCTTTAAAAAGATGCTTAGGAAAAACAATGCCTGACAAATATAGCCCAAAACAAGAGTTTTTAAATTGAATGGTACAATTCACCATCTTAAAAAAACCTCAAGACCTACTCTGGCAGATTAAAGGACCAAAAAATCCATGGAAAATATATCAACTTGCTTATTATAGTTTATTGTCTTTGTTTTCAAGTTTTCTACACTGATAAAATTCTTAAGTGGAAGGAAAACATCTCTTTGGGTTAATTTTGAAATAGTACCTAGTAAACTACCAAAGACCGAAGGAACAGAAGTATTTCAGTCCTAAGGTTATAAGACCCTTTCTTCCCGCTCCATCCTCTAACACCCTAGTTAGTTTGTGGTATTTTCTATCTTGCACACCATTTCTCTAAGTAGTACTAAAACTGGAAGGGTATTTCAGCCTTCTGAAACTAGCCGCCCTCCCCAAAGTATGAATATTTAAAATTAAACTACTGTATGAAAATAAACAATGATCAAGCAACTGTTTTTAAGTTCTGTCATTGTAAAATTGCATCTGCTACTTGTTCAGTAAGAATGAAGATGCCATATATTAAAGCTTCTTTCTCCAGTTCTGCCTAAAATTTTTTTCTCAGTATTGTATTTATTTTGTATTTCTATGACATGGAGAAGTAACATGGGAATAAATGTTACTCTCGTAACTCAAGACAATAGAAATTCCAAATATGATTTCTGAAAGTCTTTCAAGCAAGTATTAAGCTTTAGTTAAAAAATGGTAACAGCATGTCTGCAAGTACAATATAAACCCATCCACAGGGACTGTTCAAAGTGTCATGAATCACGTATGTTATTCACACAGAAAATTAGGCAAGACAGAAGCAAAGAACTTCATTTCATTGGAGGAATGAAAAAAAAAGTGTCATAATACACTGGAACATTTCCACTGTATTACTGACATTAGTGAAGTTAAGTTGTATTTTTTAAATGCAAATAAACATTTTGTCTACAAGTGGCCAAAATGCAATTAGTATGAGAAGGGCTACAGAAAGGAGGAAAAAAAGGACATGGAAGGAAAGAGAAAAAAGAACAAAAAGGAAAGGGAAACAGGAAATGGAAGAAGGAAAGAATCCCACTTCAGTGTATCACTGTTAATGATTAGACTTCCTATGGCAGTGAGAAGACTGATTTTTTCATCTGTGGATTATCATGTCTGTTTTTCCAATGTCCAAATAAATCTTATAAATGAATCTAATTTGTAGGAGCATAACCTAAAAATCAAATACAGACAAAAAATTTAGGGGACTGGGATATGGTTCAGTGGTAGACTGAATGCTTATTAGCATGAGCAAAGCCCTGAGTTCAATTCCCAGTACCAAATAAAGGAAGGGAAAAAAAATTATCCTCAGTAACATAATGCAGTAAATTTATTTATCAGGAGTGTAAAAGTTATTGCTAAGGAACAGTTTAATACTTAGCTGCAGTTTACTAGTCTATAAATTTTCATTTGCAGAGTATTATTAGGAATAAGTACATGTCAAAGGCTAATCTAAACTTTTTTTAAGAGTACAGGGAAAATTTAGAAAAAATAGTTTAATAATTTCCATGTAAACCTGACTCAATAATACCTAAGTATTTTTAAGAGCTTTATAATTTAAAAGTACCTTCTATTAATTTGATCTATAAAGAATCTTTATATTTAACATACGTATGTATGCAAGCATGCATACATGTATGGGTTATTGGAGATAGGGTCTTGTTGGCTTTGAACTTCTTTCTGTAGCCCTGGCTAGCTTTGAACTCCAGATCCTCCTGTCTCTGCCTCCCAAATGCTGGGATTACCAGTGTGTGCCACCATGTTTGGCTAGCATGCTGATTTTTAGTTTTTTATTAAGCTATTGCAAATTTTATTTTATGCTTTTAAAAGTTAAGTAGGGCAATTAAAATTAAGTTTGATATTTTATCATCAACAAAGTAATACTTTATAAAGTTGGCAGGTGAAGTCAGCATTAGTGATAAATTATTACAAGAGTAATTCCAGTGACAAATTACTGAAAGTCTTAAAAATGTAAATACATTACAAGACAATGGTGGACATATGATTTCACATAAACAAAAAATAGCTAAAATATGATTGTACCCAGCACCCTCTTTATAACACCATTCTTTTATGGTTGAGCATTTCAAATGTTATAAAGAGGAGTTGTCTTTAACTTAAGGGCAGCTATACTTAATTCTGTGGTGTTTTAAACTATGTATTTACAGGAGAGAGCCTTATAATGAGGGTGGAGAGTATTAAAGCCACACTACACACACAATAGGCCATCATGCATTTTAACCCATTATTAAACTTACCCCTCTTTTGAGGCTTCTGAAAGAAGGAATTCTGGGCTTCCCTGTTTTTATTTCATTCATACAATAATGCACGGGCTCAATGGAGAATGTGAGAAACTGGGACCCATTAGGAGTACTGGATGTGAATAAACTAGTAGGGGTTAAGGGTGGGGACTGTGGCTAATATGGAAATAAAGAAAGGAATCAATAAGCCAAGTGTGCATAGTTTGTTCCTAAATGAAAATTCTATTTTTGGCAACATACTATCACAAAATATACCTCAAATAAAGTTTTCTATAAAGTATTATAATAAACTAAATATGGTTTTTCCAGAAACTATAATTTATAAAAGTCAAATTAACTTTTAAAATTACACCATTTCACCAGATCATCTTTATAAGCTGACAGATTTAAAATATAGAGTACATAAATTACAGTGTTAGAACAATATATGACCTAGATTTTTAAAAATTCTCTTTTATTCAGATTATACTTAACCTGTAATTGGTCAAGAGACAAAGGCAGCAGCTACATCTAAAGTTATGACTAGGAGGAAAACTTTCATTAAATTCATGACTTTTGGGACAGTTTCTATTTCATCCTTATTTCACATCTTTTTAAGTACAATTCAGTACTGCTTATATTTCTAAGCAAGTCTAGCTTCTAATCTGGTTTTAAAAAGTCTCACCTTTTAACTTCTTTACTGGACAATATTATTAAAAGCATAACTAAAGACTGAGTTCATTATAAAAGTACTTTAAAATATACTTACAGTATATGTAATTTGAATTCAATTTTATCTACACTTATGCCAAGATCAAAGAAGTGAATTTAATCAGGTAAAAATATAGCACATCAGGCTAGAGGTATATATCTATTCTTTCTGATATTACATTGCAACCACTAAATTGATAAAAAGCACTCATCTATTCCATTTGCTCACCTCATGAGCTAATTCTACCCATCTAAAATAAACAGCACATCAAAAACTGGGTTTTATTAACAAGAGTAAGATTCTCTTAACTAGTGATTTATAAAAACCCCAATTCAAAAAACAAAAACTTCCATTAAAAACACTGAGCCATTCCCATTAAAAACTCATATGGATGATAAAAATAATTGTATTAGTATGATCTGTTAAGATCTAATTTGACATTGACCATTACCGTGGTTAATCATTCATTCCATCTGAGAATTGTATTTTAGTGGTCCTTTAGTTAGAAACATGTTTCCTTAGAAATTCTGAGAGAAGTTATATACAAATGAAATTTTAAACACATATAGATCAACTAGATATTACAATTTAGTTAATATTTCTATTCATTATTAATTGGTAGTCAAATGTTAAACTCAGTAATATTTTTTAAAACATAACGGTTAATAAGTAAAAGTTTAGTTGAATCAAATTGAAAACACCTACTCTTCATTAATAATAAATCATTATCTATTCAATACTTGCATCAGCTTAACTGACTTATTAAAACAAAATCTGATTAGCAGACAGGAATTTTATTACTTACCTTTGGCTTCTTTCCAAAGAGCCACAATTTGCCCTTGGCCTTTCCTACTGTGGTTCTGGCATCTACCTTCCCACTCTCCTGTCTGGGTGCACTGATCGTCCCGTCAGAAATGGTTCTGTAAATGTGCTGGCTGTAATCTTCAAACGGAAAGTCTCCTGGAGGCTCAAAACCAGACTTGAACGAATCTACCACCATTTGAGAGTCCTATAAACAGGAACAAATTTTTAAAAAACATTTCATTTGTTCATAATACATTAGTTTTCAAAGCTTTGTTACAAAGAAACAGAAGTTTAACTCTGAAATAATCAAAGTTTAAGGGGCTGGGGATTTAGCTCAGCGGCAAAGCGCCTGCCTGGCAAGCACAAGGTCGTGAGTTCGGTTCCTGGTACCGGAGAAAAAAACCAAAAAAAAAAAAAAAAAAACAAAGTTTAAAGTGAATAATTTCCTCTTGTGAGTTTATAATAAAACTTATATATGTAATCCTACAAATTTATCACTCAATTTATAGTACTCAGGAAACTTTCTACTCAGTAGCTTTAACTCCTCAAAATTCATCTGATAACTAGTTAGCTGGTTAGAAAGACCTAAGAAAAAGACTACAGAAAAAGGTTATAAAGTAGAAATGATGAGAAAATTTAAAAAAAAAACATCTTTAAAAAAATTAGACATCTGCTTTACAAGATGTCTACAAAGAAGTTCTTTGGAAGAAGAGGATTTAATCACAAATAATGAGTAGAAAGCCTTCATTCATCTAACGGGGAAGAAAAAAGTAAGATTATTTAAATACATATTGTGGAATGTTAGCAGGGAAAGACCTGAAACTGTTCTGGGGCTCACAAACACTTCTCTGTAAAATTCAAGTGCAAAACTATAGTTTAACACTGTTCACAGAAAATTTAAACACTCATATAAGTACTATATATTGTTTTAAACATACTTCTAAGTGTTTTACCGACATATTAAAAACTCATTATTTTCAAACAGTATACTATCTCTACAAACTCCTCCCTACCCATAATCATCTCTGCTCTTTTGCTCCTTGCTTCTGTTAGCAGGACATTTTTTGCCTGTTATTTAGTCAAAAGTTACGTATCATATCTTACTTTCCTCGCTAATGCTACCGCACCAGCAAGCACTTGCTAGAAGGTAAAAGAAAGAAGAGTGAAAGAACGAGACAGCCCTAACTCTACTGTATAACCTGGGATACAGCCACAATGAAATACACATGCACTTCGGAACACTCACTGAAAGAAGCCCCAAATCGTCTTGGCTTTTTTAAAATTTAAGAATTCTACTCATTCTTATAGGAAGGATCCTCATTAACATCTACCAGTTAGGCATGCTGTAGAAACTTAAATATGTGATACACATCTGATGCCCACCTCTGCACAAAACTAGATTAGGTTTGGGGGGTTTTTTGGTGGTACTAAGGATTTAAATCACCATTCACCCTGATTTACATCTTCAGCCCTTTCTTCTCTTTTCTTTTAGTTTTATTTTTTAAGACTCAGTCTATAAACTTCTGTTCCTCCTGCCTCAGCCTCCCAGCATCACAAGATTACAGGTATACAATACCATGCCCAGCTTGCCTAGCAGTTCTTGACAAATCATCTATTAGAAAGGTGATATCCTCATTTGTGTGTGTCTGTGGTACGGGGGGGGTTGAAAACCAGGGCCTTTGCACTGAGCTACATCCATAAACCTTTTAAAATGTATTTATTATTTTTTTAAGATTCTGAGACAGGGTTTCTTTAAGCCATTAAATTGCCCAGGCTGGGTCCAAACTTGGTACTTTCCTGCCTCAGGCTCCCAGAGTACTGGGATTATAGCTGTCCACCACCATGCCTGGCCAAAATTATTCCTTTTATCTTGCTCTTCCCTTGTACTCCCAGGTTCTGTCAACCATGCTTTTTGGTTGCTCAATATTTACTGAAAACCAACCATAGATTCTCCTATACTTTAGTCAAGATACAGTAAGATTGGGTTTATTTCCTCAAGGAGGGGAGGACTCTCACTGTTCCCTCTACTCAGCACACCCTCTTTGCTCCCCTTTATGAGTCATTATTCCACATGCTACCCATGTTTCTGGTCTAGTCCAAGCACCAGTCACCACCCAACTCCTGTGTTAAAGTCAACTCTCACAACTCCAGATCTATTTGACCATATCCTTTTCTAAACTTTCAACAGATGAACAGCATAATACAATTTGTATCACACAGTTCACAGGTTATACTCTTGGATTAGAACTGAAAAATTAGTGGGAGAACAAGACGACTAGTAAATTTGGGGAGAGGGGCTCAGAATTTCAGCAGTTATAATGATGTTTAAAAGAGTCTTAATATAAAATTCTCTTCTACAGAACATAGCAGAATCAAGTACCCATCGGACTATTTCTTTTCCAAACCAATTATAAACTGCACAAATGCATGTATTCAGAGTCACTTATACAGCACTTACTCTTCTTTCATCAACTGATTTCGCTGCAAGAATCATTCCTTCCAAACATTTTGAGATGATGGGAATAACCTTGCGTTCTGAGTCGGCAAATCCTCTGTAACACTCACTCAGTTTAATCGTCCTTCGTTCATCCATTTCTTGTAGTTGCTAAGAATGAGGAATTTCAAAAAAATGAAAACAGGTTTCTTATTCCGAGAGAGAGGATTAGCGATCCTCTCCCAAAATAACTGAAGATTTCTACCCTAATAACCATACAGTTGTTTTCTATTTTTTAACAAGCACTTTATGGACACATGATACTGAAAATCCAAAGACTGCTAAATCTTGAAAAAAAAAAAAAAAAGAAAAAAAGAAAGAAAAAATAAGGCTTTTTGTACATCCAAAAATCAGGTGACACTGTCATCTGGCTTTCACATCTTCTATCAGAACTCCTTCCAGGCTACCACCTCCCTATCTCTTATCTCTCCCACCTTTTTGTCTCTGGAATAGTTCTTATTATTTATGCTTCCAGTAAAAGTCTGATTTGAAGAAAAAATTCTGGCACCAATTTTGTTTTTAAAGTAATTAGCCTATAATGTATATATAAAAGTCTAGGACTTCCAATCCTTTACACATTAGTTTAGAATATTTTGGTAACAGTTGGCTGAGTTAAATGTCCACAGCCGATTACATACACAGAGGTACCCACACACCCTACCACCTACAGCTCAGAGTGACTATTAACACTTGAGGACACAAGAGGGGAAACAAGCAGTCATGTGGTCAAAGTAGCACATACACAGAATCCCCACAAATCAAAATTCACTAGTGCCCCACTAGGAAATATGTCAGGATACATGAAGCCCAATAACTTCAAGGTACTGTATTTTTGATACTTTCTATTTACCAACACTCACCTTCCTCTTGCCTAGGAAGCAGTTACACTACTCAAGTCCTCACATCACACAGACTTCATACCATTTTTCCTTTTTAATTACTTCTCAAAGCTTAGGAGTTTGAGACCTGCAGTCTCAAAAGAAGGGTTCTGCGCATCACAAAATGGCAAAACTACTCCATATCAAGTTCCAAATAAAAGCACTAGAGACCAAATCACAAAGGTAGTTTGTCTCCAACTTAAGTTCTCTCCCAGAAAGTGAAAACTTAACTAGTCAGCCTAGAAAAGCATCACAGAGTGAGGAATGGCAGGCCTGACATTTTGGACTAAATAAGCAGAATTTGATACCCTGATCTAGTTAGCCATCTCTCAGTATGCTTCCTCAGTACTTTCACCTTGCTTTAGAAAAGAAATGAAGTGTACTTGGGTTGACATTCTTTCTGCCTACTCTCTATTCTCCATTAGATACCACTTCATTCAACACTGTTCATATACCTTTTTCTTCTAATTTCTATTCTTTTTAGAAAAGGCAGTAATATAACTGAATCCTCAAAATTCTAGGGTTTTTATCTGGCAGTGGTATCATTAAGTGATGCCAGACAGGACTGATAAGCAAATTAAGGCCTGAATTGTAATTATGATCTAATAGGGCCAACAAGACAAACAAGGCTAGCAAATACATTTTGAAGATTTATTCCTAGACAAGAACTAGGCTAGCAAATACATTTTAGAAGATTTATTCCTGCCACTTTTTTCTGCCAGTGCTCATGATTCTGGTGAAGTGTCAAAAAACTACTTCCTAATTCTAGTTGAGCAGATCACAATATACAATTTCAATGAATTCTTCCTATAAGGTCAAAATACTTAATAGTACAGTAATAAAATTTATTTCAAAAATGTTATTGTTGTAGTGGCTATTTCTTTATAACACTAGTAATAAACATATAGGAAAATTTGTGATTTAATAGGAAAAACTTTTCAAATGTACAATCACACAGAAATCTCTTACCATTAATTTAAGTGACTAGTAAATCTAGAAAAACTTAAGCATGGGGGTTGGGGAAATAGCTCTGGTCTAGCCATTGCCTCAACTCTGGGATCTCCAAAACTACAAAAGATTTTTTTAAAAAATTTAAGTTTTACATTTAAAGACTCCTTTTCTCAACTCAAACTAGATTAACTTCATATACCTAAAGTTTACCTTGTAAATCTGAGGAATGACTACATAGAAATGTTTGTGTTGTTCTCCATTGAAGTTCTGTAACTGTGCCGCATATTCATTTTTATTCTCATCAGCCATATGTGTACGCAGGTTCAACTGTTGTTTGGCCTAGAAGGAAGTTAGTCCAAATCATTACCAAAAACAACAAAATCACAGCAATTCAGTTTTCTAAAATTTATCCCAAAACTACGTCATATAGGTGCAGAAGCCAACACCTAACATCGCAAGACTAACAAAGTGGCCTGACTCCTTCAAACTACTGATTATTATTTTAGTTTAAGGAGATGCACACAAATATTATAGTCAGAGTGGTCTCCTTACCACAACATTCACCCTCCTACTGTAACAGTGTTCCTCCCTTGCAATAATCCATTTAAATAGACTCTCTTTATGAAGTCCACAAGGAAAATAAGTAAATAAATGACAGTGTTACAGCCTGAAACAGATCGCCTTTATTCAGAATAGAAGAAAAACAGCTTCAAGGATAGACTGTTAGTAAAATATTTCTTTATAATTCACTTTCAGAATTAGAATATGACACTAAAATCAGTGAAATAACAGAAATATGATTTTTGAATAATGTAAATTACATCTCTACAAAACCACAATTAAATAATGATTATTAAGAATATTAATTCTGTTCTCAATTTCTTGTAGAAAGTCATAGTATCTAGAGCAATATTATTTATATAGTAAAGTAGTATTACCTATGTTTGTAAGGATATTACAGTATAAGCCCAAACTGTTAATTCTAGACATATTGGAGTGTGATCCAAATAAATCAACTGTTCCAAAATAAGAACAAATGGGGCTGGGGATTTAGCTTGGCGGCACAGCGCCAGCCTGGCAAGCGCGAGGTTGTGAGTTTGATTCCCGGTACCGGAAAAAACAAACAAACAAAAAAAACACAAAAAACAAAAAACAAAATAGGAATTGTGCTCTTTTTCGTTTTTTTTACACTTCCAAGGAATAAATCATTCTACATGGTAGGGTTTGTAAACTGTAAAGCACACTCAATACATCTCTCTATTATAATTCCAGTTCCTATAAATGTAGTTCCCTGACCTTCTGACACTAGTCTATAAATTAGATCTTCTTATCTCAGAAATAACCTATGGAAAATGTGATAGTCAAAAATCCCAGAAAAGCCCATAAAAACCCACTCAATCTACAGTATACTTAAAGATTACAATAAATAAGTATTGTGAAGACTAAAAGTTAAGGCCCAAATTATTTTTGCAGAAAAGTTTATGAGAAGTTCCAACTTAGAACCCTAAGAACACATTCATTCGTCCTTCCCTTTTTCTCTTTCTACCTATCACAAGCCATGGTGGAAGAGAGGAATACAAATTCCCTTCCCACAAAACCTCATGGTTTTTTCAGGGGAAACTTTTCCAGTTCCAAGTAACTGGCTGTCATTCCCACAGCCTGGGGCAGAGGCTCCATCAATATGGAGGAAGAAAAAGCCAGGAGCTGAAACAACTGAAGCCTCTCCTAATTCTCTAGTAATTAAAAAAGAACTGCAAACATATGAGCATAAAAAAGGAAGCTATAAACACTGAAATTCTGAACAAGTGAGTCCAAACCAACTAGCAGATATGTTGTATCTGTATTTCAAGATGTTTGAATATTCTCCAAAATTATCTCTGTAGACCAAATGAATAAGTCAAATGAGAGTCCATTAAACAAGTAACTTTAATCAATATTTGATAATAAGTCAAAGGAGGTTTTCTTTGTGGGGTTGGTTTTTTGCTGGCTTTTCTGGAGGTACTAGGGGTTGAAGCCAGGGCCTTTGCAGCAAGGTACAACTCGAGCCTTTTTTTTTACATTGTGAGATGGGGTCTCACTAAGTCCCTAAGGTAGGCAAGGCTGGGTTTAAACTTGGAATCCTTCTGCTTTAGCCTCCCACAGTGCTGGAATTACAGGTGTGCACAAACATCACCAGCATCAAAGTTCTTAAGGAGTTAATGTCAACATAAAAGAAGTCTCCTATGTATAAAATAGTGCTTTTACAATTGTAGCCCAAATGTTTATCAAGTAATAGTAATATACTGATCAATTATGCATATGGCTTAGTTCTGGGAAGAAAATTAGCATCATGATCAAAATCAGGATGCAGGCCTGTGTGGTGGCATATGCCTACAATCTCAGCACTCAGGAGGCCAAAGTAGAAGGATCACAAGTTTGAGATCAGCCTGGGCTACATAGTAAGTTCAAAGCTAGCCTGGATTACATAGAGAACCTGTCTCAATAAACAAGAAACCATGCCAAAAAAAAAAAAAAAAAAAATCAAGCTCTAAAAACCTTAATAGTAGGATCAAATCTAGTAACTAGTAAAGATGTACATATTAATTTAAAACAGTATAAATCCTGAGATAGATTCTTATTTCTCTGTACATGTAAAAAGAGGGTTTCAGATAACCATAAACTCAGTAAGAGTCAACCCAAACAATGTGGCTGCCCAAGTCCATACATATTTAGGCTCTATTAACATATATTCAATATTAAAATAAGAGAGATAAACTCAGAACAAATCAGATCACACCTAGATTATTAGATACAATTTTAAAAAACTGAGTATTGACAAATTAAAGGGTATCAGGAGGAAAGTAATTATGGTGAAGGTAACGAAGCTATTTCGTATGTGGAATAATTGACTTTTTTTTTTGTACCAGGAATTGAACTCAGGACCTTGCGCTTGCCAGGCAGGCGCGTGTGCCGCTGAGGTATATCCCTGGCCCTGTGGAATAGTTGAAACATAATGGTTTTTCTAGGAGAACAGAATTCACTGCAAGTATGTAAAGCTATTATGAAAAACAAATAGATTTGATACTTTTCTATGGTACCCCAAAAATCAAACAAGAGAGATGAGTGAAGCCAATATAAGAAAATGTTAAAGCTTAAAAGAAAAAAAAAGGTTGCTCAAGATCATACATTTCTAATTATAGAAAACTTACTATTAGTCAAGGTTTAAGTCACTGAAAACAGAGTAGAAAATACAGAAGTAACATGAGTTATGCTAAAAGACTTATAATTGCAACCTGAATTTATATGAATTTAAGGTTTCTGGTTTTTTTAATTGGCAAAGAAAATAGAAGGCAGGAAACAAATTGTTCCTCTCTCCCTTTTTTCTCATTCCATCCTTTAGGGAATCATAAACTCCAAAGGAGATAATATAATTCATGGTAGTCCTTCAGTATACACAACAGTGTGAAGTAAAGTTCATCTATCTTTCAAAATCCCAACATTTCAGTATTATCACTGTGTCAAATGTTCTAAGATAAAGAGCATTAGGAATGGGACAGGAGAAGCTAATAAGCAGCAGTTGCAGAGCTAATCTTGTCAAGAAGTTATCTGATAAACATCTGGCCCACAGTCAGTGACAAAAGATTCAGTTTTTCCAAAATAAGCAGCTAATATCACATATCTTCGACAGTTTTGTTGTGTACTCTCAAGTTGGCAAAGCTATACTATAATTATTGACATACCTGATGGATACATCTTAGGCTACCTATTTTGGAATAGGACAGAAATTCAATTCCAGTAGCAACTATTTCTTGCCTCTGCATTTTGAATGCAGTTAAAATATTATAATAAACTAAGTAACACATTGCCTTCACAGACCAGTAGGAAATATTTGTATATTTTAGATTAAGAGGCAGTGCATCTCAAGGAACTTCTAACACTGATAGAAATGGTGACTTCTTTTCATATGCAAATAATATTTAGGTATCAAAGATGGTGTAGATTGTTTCCTACCTTTTCAACATCTGCCTTGGTTGCATTGGTATCATTATCCAATCTTTCATAACTCTGTTGTGCTTTTTCTGCCTCTCTACATTCTCTTTCAAACTTCTTTTTACTCTGTTTAAAAAAATAAAATAAAATGTCACACTGAGAAAATAAAATTAGACTTAACCCACTTAAGCAGTAACTTTAAAATGCTGCCCTTTATATTGTGCACAAATGAAATGCACACTAGAAGTAGTTCTTTTGAAATCAGAAACTAAATTTTATTATTACAAACATATACTTGTGCCTTAAATATCGGACATTAATTACAAATTGTGAAAAAAGAAGCATTATTAATACTAATTACATATCTTATCAATTTAAAAAACATGTTATTTGTAAGTTTTTATAGGCTTATCTTCAACAGGTCTTTTTTGGTGTGGTGTTTGTCTTGTTGGTGGGTTTTTATTGGTTGGCTTTCATCCATTTTCAGTGGTACTCTAGCTTAATTTGAGAAATGTAAGTGTCCCTCCAAAACGGTTTTATATTGCTTCTGCCAGATAAACCTGAAATACCATTGTCCCAGACCTAGGTTTTTAAAAATGTTTTTATCCAATTCAAATTGTATAAGCTATTCACAACTGGGCCACGTTTTCTGGGCTAAGCCTAGTTTTCAATGCACTTATCTTTCACTCAATCCCTTTCTCCAGTTGTTTAAATCTCTTCACGGTTAATTCTAACACACTCAGAATTCCATCATTTTTACTGCCATGATTCAGTCTCCCAAAGGCTATTAACTTGCTTAAATTTGAACCTGTTACTATTTAGGCATAGTGCACAGCTATAGTGCCCTAGCTAGTTTGTGCTGCCCTCCAACATATCTGAATATGTTAACCTTAAAAAGAAAATTAAAATGAGAAAAACATTACTATTTCAATGTACTTGAATCTTTGCCATGTTAAAATGGAGTCAATTGTTACAATATAATTTTCTTTTTGCCCAATAATGCAGCCCAGAAACTGTACTGCCCAGGGTGGACCGCCTCCCACCACCACCACCTCCCCACCCCCCACTCGGCTGCAGCACAGCTATCTCTCTGGAACTTTTATTTCCTATTACCCTGAGGATACCTGGAACCTGTCTTATAAGAGTCTCTATTTCCTAGTTCCATTCTTTCCCCTTTCTAGCTTCAATTCCTCATTCAGCTGGAACACACTCAGCAGTAGCTTCCTATTGTGAGAGGTATGTTTTGAGTTTCCATGACTAAAAGTCCCTTTACCATCAGTTTTAATCAGTGAAATTTGGAAATCAAAATGTAAAAGTAACTGTTAGTATTTTCTGGATTCCCAAGATTATCCAATCCCATTTTCATTCCGATCCATTGTATAAAACATGTTTGTTTTCTCTTGTTCTCTGGTGGCCAGTGAGATTACACTCTCTCACGATAAACAGCTTTGACACTGAACCGTTGTGCTGTGTACCTGTGAAATCCCTTCCATTTAGAAACATGTCTTTCAGTTTGGTAGACATTTTCTTGACTTATTTTTCCTTTTTTTTTTTTTTTTAAAGGATGCTCACTATTTTGAAAATAAATCTACTAGGTGAGTCCTCTCATATATTCTTTCACATTTTCAATCTGTCATTTTAGAGAGATTTCTTCATCTTTCATTTTTTTTCCTAGAGGTGTTTTCATTTCTGCTACCATAAAGTTTGGTTTTTATTCTTTATATGTTCCTTTTTAAATAGTACCTTAGGCTTTATTTCATGGATGCAGTATTTTTCTCTATTTCCCTTGAGAATATTATTAACACTTTGTGGATGCTTTCTTTATCTTCCATACGTTTGTATACAGTCCTAGGGATTGAACCCAAAATCTTCACACTGAGTTACCTTTCCAGCCCCGAAACCACCTTTAAAGACTGGGTCTCACTAAACTGCTAAATTGCCTGGGCTAGGTTCAAACTTTTGATCCTTCTTTCTCAGCCTCAAAGATTACAGATGTTTGCCACCATGCCCAACTTCCTTAATCTGTTAAGCTTTTTATTTATTTATTTTTTTTTTGTTAAGCTTTTTAATCTTCATTTCCTTTCATGGTCATCATTTCTTCTAAATTACTTTTTTTGCTGAATATTAGTTACCTGAGTTTGGGTCTCTGATATACATATTAGATGCTTTCTTCAAATGCCCAAGGATCCTTGAAAATGAATGTGTGTGTGTGTGTGTGTGTGTGTGTGTGTGTGTGTTAACAGAGATTAACCTAGGGCCTTATCCTCAGGGTTTCTGCACTGATCTACATTCCCCAGCCTTCCCCCAGAATCCTGGAATTATAAGTGTGTGCCATCATGCCCAGCTCTGTATAGCTGGTCTTTAGAAAGCTGACTGAAAGCTCTGTAGGTAGGGCTTGTATGGTCTTTCCTGGGTAAAACGCCCAGGGAATTTCCTTGGGAAAACCCTGAGAGCATTATCTATACTATTTTGTCTTCTGTAGCTGCTTAGATTCCCCAGAGAAAGCCTTTCCAATTTCCTATCTAGAAAATAAATGCCTTGCTACCTATATTCTAAGTGATCAGAATTAAAAAGCAAAGGATCTTAACATTTCTTATTTACCTAACCATGTTTCTTTGGTACAGGAAATTGAACTCAGGACCTTGTGCTTGCTAGGCAGGCGCTTATGCCACTGAGCTATTCCCTATCCCCTACCTAACAATTTTAGAAGCAGTTTTAATTTCTTATCTTGAGGATTACAAAACCATATTAATAGTGCAAATCTGGAGCCCAAAACTCATGACTACAAGGTCAAGAGTTTAAGTTTCTCACAGCATACCTCCCCCTGACCTGCAGACAGAGAAATTTCTTTGATATGTCTCTTGCTTAGTGGGCAGGGTTCTTACAGTCTACTTTTTCCTAAAGGCTTAGTTCTTTAGAGGTTTAAATTTTATGCAAGGGTCTCAGTTCCAACTCCCAACAATATACACAGCTAAAACATAATTTTTGAGCCCAGATACTAAAACACAAGTCCTTTGGCACAGAATGCAGCTCAGCCACATAGCGCCTGCCTGGCAAGCACGAAGGCCCTGTGTTCGATTCCTGATACTAAATAAACTAAGTAAATAAAGAAAACACAAGTCCTTAGCAAATACATGCCCAGTAAACCACCGTATTCCAACATCCCTCCCCCTATTTTTTCAAATGTCACTATACCAATTCATATATCTACTGCTCTTTGTTTTTTTTTTTTCATTATTAAGTTTATTGGTATATTTTAGGTATACATAACAATCACATTCATCACAGAGAATTTGTACCTGTACATGATATAACTTAACTATTTTTTTTTATCCTCAGGTTCCTAACAGAGATTTTCCTTTCTTCCAAATACCTAAGAGTTTAAAATATAACTTTTTTTTGGTACCAGGAATCAAACTCAGGACCCTGAGCTTGCCTGGCAGGTGCTTGTGCTGCTAAGCTATATCCCAGGCCCTAAAATATAACTTTTAAAAAATAATTTTATCTACGGATTTGTAGTCAAAACATTTCAGCTTGACATAGTTAGAACTAGATATACTCTACATAATTTACCCCAAATGTGCTCTCAATTTTTTTATAAAATTCTTTAAATGTAGACCTTACTTAGTATTTTGATTAATATGAGATCCCCAAACATCGTACCTACGTTTTATTCAGAGCACATAAAAGTATCTGGCTAAGCACAATAACAGAATGTCATTTTCCTATGAAAATTAGGATTGCATTTCCACATTTAATTCTCTGAAACTCAGAGCTGTATTTTTTAAATTGAGTAGCTATATGCTACATCAATAGAATTAAAGCACATCAACAGAATTAGAAACACTCCCTTCCTAAAATCAGTATATTATTATACAGTGTAGGGCTTCACTTCAGAAGAGACTCCTTCTTCATGCTTTTTGTGGCAAAAGAACCTGCCTCTTAACAGAGGCTGAAAATAGCTGTCACTTGTTACTCCAGCCTTCCCACAGCTTGGGCTAATCTCATTCATGGTATCTACAAGAAAATCTACTGGGAGGTTTTTGTTCTGCTTTGTCTTTTTGAGACAGGGTCTCACTATGCAGTTCATCCTGGCCTTGAACTGATTTGTAGCCCAGGCTGGCCTTGAACTCACAGTGATCTCCTGCCTCAGTCTCACAAGTGCTGGGGTTACAGGTGTGTACCAGCATGCCCAGTTTACTGGGAGTTTTCTGTGGAAGTTTTACTTCCTTGATGAAAAGGGACAGTTAGAAAATAAATGCTCCCTTTCCTTGCCTCCAGGTGCAGCTTAAATGAGGGTATGATACCTGCCTGCCTCAGACAACTATTGACTCTAAGGGCACAAGGCTGAAGAAACAAGCCAAAATGACCAAAATGGCAAAGTGGACAGACAGAGAAAGGTCATGAAGCCTTGGTGACACTGCTGAATTACTGGCTTAACTTCTAAACTGCTCCATTTCTGAGCTCTGTTAGTAGAAATGTGTATGATCTGTTACCTGGAAACAACTAACTGACAATCTGGCATCACTGATGCTTCTTAATCTAAAACCGTTCCTTGAAGATGTCCTTCATATGCTACTTTCTTCTGTTCTCATCTTAAGTGCCAGGGCTGCCTATTTTGTTTATTCTGGGATTAACTTTTATCCACCCTCCCAAATTTTCAATACTCTGCCAATAATTTAACCTATTTTCCCAGTTCTTTATACCACCTCTAAATTATTTCAAATCTGTTAGAAATTCTACAATTTTATTTTCTTGGCTAAACAAGAAGACACAGAACTAAAGAAAAGGATCCTATGCCTGTTTCTATATATTAACCAGAAACTATATTTCCTAATCTCCTTCACTGGACTGCCGGCTCCACGAAAATTAGAGCTAGTCATGTTCACTTTTATACACCCAGGGCCCAATATATGTAAAGGATGCTTTCCATAAACCTGAGTGGGGTTAAATTCACCTTTTTTCATAGTATCACTAATGCCTTAAAGAAACTGTCCCTACATTTTTGAAGCTTCTTTCTTATTTATGATCTCTATAACTTTTTCTTAATAATTACTATTGATTTAAAGATAAGTCAGTACTTATTATCAACGACTTGTGTCAACACCAACTGTTAAAGGAGTCAACATATCTCTTGAGTATAGGAGTCTATTATTTTGTGCAAATGTAAACACAGAAGCACACACACACACTCATTACATGGCAGACACTAAAGATACTAGTGAATGCAACTTAAATTTAATTAGAAAAAATACTCCGTAAAAGTCTTGCCAAAATTAGTTAGAAAACCAAACCAAAAATGAAATAGATTATTAATATACTTAAGAATTCTTAAACAGAATCTTTTACCAGTAACAGTTTTATAACAGAAACTTAATCTAAGCTTTGAACATGCATTTTTGTTTTGTTTTGTTCTGTTTTGTTTTGTTTGGGTTTCTTTTTTGGGACAGGGTTTCCCTGTATAGTTCAGGCTGGCCCTGAGCTCACTATGTAGTCAAAGCTGGCCTCGAATTTGAAGCGATCCTGCCTCAACCTCCCAAGTGCTGGGATTATAGGTACGTGTGGCCACGCCCAGGTCTTGAATATGCATATTTAGAAAGAAAAAAATGACTGAAAACACCGCAAGTATATGTATGAATTTTTAAAATCTCAACGTCATTTTTCTAGCAATCACAGACTAAACTAACATGACAAGCTTTCTTCAGCAAATTCTCAAGGAATATATAGCACATAATAATAATACACCAGTAAAAAAGAAACTGCTTGATAAACTGAAGGTTTAAAAAGAGTATCTTTTCTTCTCAGTGTTGGGATTACAGGTATGTGCCACTACGCATGACTCAAAAAGAATGTTTTATACAATATACATCATTTAATACAGCATTTTAAGTAAAGAATATATAGTGTTTCGTATAGACATCCTGTTTTTCAAATTACTGTATACCACAACCTGGAAGAAAAACTGCCTTAGCAAGAACCTTAGGAAAATTTTTAAATAAATTATTATGCTTTTATAATTTTGCCTTACACAAGTTTTTGTTGCATTTTTTTCCCACAATATTAGAATTATACAATTAACTAAACTGGAAGAAATACTTCATATATAACCTAGTTAAAAATGAAGTTAAGAGAAATCAAGTGCTAAGAAAAGGTAGAACTACTGTCTTGGTTTCTTTAGTCTCAAATGTTTTTCTACAATATATCACCGTTACTCTACCACTTCTCTCTCCCATTAACATTTTACAGTAACTGCTCTCAAAAGTCTGAAAGAATTTCCCCTAAATGTTTTAAAATAATAAGAACGTTAGAGTGCTATACAAGTACTATACAGTCATCTAGGAAAAAAAGGAAAAATGATCGTATATCCTCCATTTACATTTTATTGGCTACCATGTAAAAAATGTCAAATTACGAATAATACACTGAAAATACTAAACTCAGATGTAAAGCTTAACAGAACTTAGGAGTGACCCAGCGGTGACCAAAATCTCATGTTAACCATGAAAAACAGCGTAACTCACATTATCCATCTGTTTCCAGCACATGTCAAGGTACTGTTGGGCTTTGCGTCCTTCTTGGAGATGCTAGAAATTATAAACACCACCAAACAAACAAAGGAACAAATAATACTTTTTAAATACTCAATTTTAAAGTCCCAAAAAGTCTTTTCACTGTGTTGCTTCAAGATACTAATTATATAACTTTATCAAGACTTAGAAACAGTAAAACAAAACCCAAGTAAAATGCATTTTTATAAGACATTATTTCAGTACTTTAAATATAGCCTTTCAAATAGATGAAAAATCTAGAGAATTAAAAAGCATCTTCAATAGGGGTTAACAAAGATTTTCATTTTGGTGATGTGTTTTTTGTTACTGTTTTGGAGATTGGACTCTGGGCCTTCACAATGAGCTATATACCCAGATAGAGGAGGGGGAAGAGTCTCACTAAACTGCCCAGGCTGAGCTCCCATTTCTGATCCTATCTCAGACCTTAGGAGTGCTAGGATTACAGGGAAGTGCCATAGCACACAGATTGTTTTGTCTTGCAAAAGGGATTGAACCAAGGGCCTTTGCATTACATCCTCAACACTTCTTTATTTTGAGACAAAGTCCTCATTAAGTTGCTAAATTACCCAGGCTGGGCTGGAATTTGCAATTCTCCTGCCTCACCCTCCAAAGGGCTAAAATTATAGGCATGAGCCACCATGCCTAGCTTGACAAAGATTTTCCATAAAGGGTCATAAAAATAAACATTTTAAGATTCTAGGCCATATTCAACTTTGCTGATGTAAACCAAAAGCAGCCATAGCAATATGTAACTTAATGAATGTGACTGTTCCAATAAAACACAGTTTGTGGACATTTAAATTTTATGTAATTTTCACATGCCATATTTATTTTCTATTTTTTTTCAGCCATCTAAAACTGTAAAAAACCATTCTTAGCTTGTGGGAACTAGGAAACAAAAACAGGCAGCAGGCTGGACTTGAACCAGGTACTATACTTTGCCAAACAATCTTAAACCCAAAGGCTCAAAAAAACAAAAAACAAAAAACAAAAAAAGCCTCATAAATTAGCAAGAATATCTTGCAATAATTTTTCAGCTAAAAGAAATTTAAATCCATTTATACTAAACATACATTTTTAAAAGCAAACGAAGTATTTGTGAAGATATTTTATGAAACTATTATAATTGAATAAAAAAATTACCATTTTTCTTTCAGTTTTCAGATCATGAGCGTATCTCATTAATTCACCATACACTCTGTGTGCCATTTCTTCTGCTACTACCTCTCGCTGTCCTGCATAGTCATTTAACTCATTAAGGATGTTAAAAAAGGCTATACACGAGGTAAACCTGGCAAAAACATATTAAAAATGGTGAAATTTATTTTTCTCTTCATTACAAATATTTTGGTAAGGTATAATTAAGCCTAACACTTGATAAATTTTAACATATGCAACCTAAATCCAAACTGCTAATTCTAAATTAATTTTGTATGGCAAGAATCCTACATTAAACTTAAGTTGTACATTTCCATATATCTTTGAGCAGCCTTTAATTTATAAATAAAGCGATATTTGGGATCAAGTAATAGTAAGAATACTACCTGCGGCTCTTTTGGCATAGTGGAATCTCTTAGGTTGCCAACTGACTGGCCTGAGCTTGGGAATGAACTTGGTTGCATTCCTAGGCTTGGCAGCTCAACCTGTTGCAGAGATGATGTGCTTGCTCTCGAGGACAGAACCTGCCAATCATACCACTCAAATGCATCTCGATGGCTGATCTACAGAACAACTTTGCTATCAGCTCTGGGTGCAGCTGCCTGTATGCCTGCCCACATCCTGAAGGGGAGTGAAGGGCCGTTATGGTTGGCACCAAAGAGGGATAAAAGGGTCAAAAATAAGGGTAAAAACGTGTGTGGAGGGAAAAAGAGAAACAAAGAGAATCATTGTATTAAGATGTATATATCTGCTTTGAATACAGGAAGGAACACTCTCACAACTGAAGGCTAACAGCTCAGACAGGACTCCATTAACAGCAAATCTGAGATTCCTAACAATTCACAATTATATGCAAAGTTGTTTGTCAAGTCTAAGCTCTCTTCTGCATTTTACAGTTATCTACATATTCCTAAAGCTACATATTATCTACATATTCCAAAAAGCTCATAAGCAATTCCTGACCTTTTATTCAGCACTCAAAACTTACCCTGAAAATCTCACCATTTTCATAATTTCATTAAACCAACCAACCAAACTGTTTTACCACCCAAAATAAAAGTAACACTCTAAAAGCTGACAATTACAAAATCAAGTGTGGGGAAAATACCCTTTTCTTCTGGTGACTAAATTATTCAAATGGAGCCTTAGTCTACATCTTACTTGGAAATCTTCACTGAAAACTGTTGATCAAGATTTATCCTTATAAGATAAATAGTACTTTTCTCTTCCGTAAACACTGATTTTTTTAAAATTAAAACACTTTAAAAATATGTTCATAAAAGTTAACAGTTTTACTAAATTAACAGAAAAAGTTTTGATTTTTATTATACAATGATAAAGAGATATAATTTACCTTGGCTCTTCATCTTTGGATGACCGTTTGGGACAGTACTTCTTAACCAAATTTCTACAGGAAGAAGATTTTTAGAAAATTATCGATTTACCAATAACATTTTGTTTAAATTGATATATTCTAAAAGTTTCCAAATTCATAAAGTCAAGAATTTCATGATATAAAACAAAATATTAATATGCTCATTTATTACCTTTAACATAATACATGATCATGACATTTTGTTCTTAAAATACTAATGAGAAAACTCGCTTATTTTTGTACTTATATGAATGCAATCATTACAATCTGGTAGATCAATTAAGAAAAGAGAAAGAATATGAAAAAGTACTCAGTATCTGAAACTAAGAGCATAAAGACACATTTCAAAGAAATAACCACCACTCTTTTGTTTTGCAAATCGGGGATTTTAACACTAAGGGAATGTGTAAGCAAATGCGGAATGAATCACTAAGGGAATACAAGTTGGTCACCATCCTCCACATCCTATTTTTTATATGAAAATAATTCTGTGACCTCTTAATTCTCTTTCCTAAACAAATTGTTTTCTGACTTATAACTATCTTTGCTTGCATCTAGGTCTGTTCTTAACATTCTTAAACTAAAATGCTACCTTATTTAATCTTTATGGAATCAAGAGGCAAACTAGCACGAGGATTTTGGAGCCAAACTGGACTGCATGGGTTTGAACCCAATTTGCTTTCTCTAGGATCTATGTGACCTTACACAGCCCTCTAGCTCCCTTGTTCCCTGCTGAAGCAATTGTGGAAGCCTCAGGAAAATGAATACAGAAAGCAGTCTTGATTCCTAAATTACCTACCACATAGGCTGCCATGGAGAGTCCCCTAGACCTGGACCATACTGCAAGAGCAAGAATAAACTTTTACTTCTATAAAGGTCCTAGGATTTGGAAATTATTATTCCAGTATAGGTTGGTGTTATGGTTGATACATTGTGTCAAGGAGTCTAAAAGCTTCACTAAGTGACTCAGCAGTTCTACATCCTGGGGTGAAAAGGACATGTCCTTGCATTCTAGGATGTAGTTTACTGTGTCAACTTAAAAAGTTTAAAAGGTTAACTATGTGACTCAGTAGGGAGCTGGGGTCCTTACTTTGTATTCATGTGTAAGAGGAGGGCCAGGAGATGATATGGGCATGGGTGGATAGCCAGCATACAATGTAAGAAAAAAACAAGAGGCTTACTCCCCGACTTTTTTGCTCTTGCTACTTTTGCTATTTTCCAGCACCATAAACTATTGCCCCGTGCCATGTGCCACTCTGCCTTGGAGCCAGCCAAATATAGACTAAAACCTCCACAAACTGTAAGCTAAATAAACATTTCCTTCCTTAATTCTGGGTGTTGAGTATTTCTCTCAACAACAACAACAACAACAACAACAACAACAAAGACAAAATTTGGTATCAGGAGTGGGGTTGTTGCTGTGACTATACCTGACCACATGGTTCATGAGCCTTTGGAAATGGCTTGTGGGAAGTGTTTAAAAAGGTTCAGAGACTTCACCTCAAAGAAAAGCACTAGAACGCCTTTGGCTGTTCTGTATGGGAGATTCTGGTCAGAGCTCAAAAGACCAAAAGGCTGATAAAAATCCTGGCAGTAAAGATTGGGTTCAGGAGGCTAGGAAAAAGACTGCATTGGTTGTTAGGCTCCAGATGATGGCTGTTACAGCTTGACAAAAAGTTTGCATTTTGCTTATGTCCAGAGACTTTGTTTAAGACTGAGATTAAGGGCGGCAGACTGACTAATCTGGCAGAAGAAATTTTAAGGCAGTCAAATGTTGGGGCAGTAGCATGACTATTGTTGGATGCTTTTACCCAGATTTATGTTTGTCTTGGTTACTTTTCTCTCGTTGCTGGGACAAAATACCAGACGCCCAAAATGAAGGAAGGAAAGGTTTGTTTCACTTACAGTTTGTGGAGGTTTCAGTCCAGACTTGGCAGATTACAAGGCAGAGTGGCACGTGGCAGAGAGCTACAGCTTAGGGTGAACACAGCAAAAGCAAAAAGCACACACCAGGGCGGAATGGCAGAGGAATGGCCTCAAGCACTCTTTTCCTCTCCCTTACATATGCAAACTATCCACCCCAGGGCAGGTGCAGCTCTCACACCCCTAATCAATCAAACTTTAAAAGCCTGCCCCATGGCCGCATGAGGCTTTGGGGGGGACACCCAGACATAAACCATAACAATGTTAAAAATCAAGAGCAAAGAGCCCAACAAGATGATTTTAAAATGTTGTGAGTTTGGCCAAAAAAAGAGCTCCAGTAAAGCTGTAGACCGCAAAGACAGAGCAAAAAAAACCTTGATTACTGAAAACAACAAAACAAAACAAAACAAAACAAAACAACCCAGGAAAATAAAAAGATGGCCTGAGGGCATCAAAAGAACAACAAGTCTCCACCATTTGCAGTCTCAAAACTGCAGAAGTAAGGGCCTGGGGATTTAGCTCAGCTGCACAGTGCCTGCCTAGCAAGTACGAGGTCGTGAGTTCAATCCCTGGTACCAGGGGAAAAAAAAAAAAAACCTGCAAAAGTAAAAGACTTTGCTCTGAGAAGAAAGCCACAGAGTGCCATGTTCTAACATGGCAGCAGGAGCCACCACACCAGGTTCCAAAATGGTGGCAGCATAAAAAATTTGTTTCTCAAAATCAGAGTGCTCAGCAATCCAAGCACGTGACCCCTACAGCCAAAAAACAAAGCAAAACGAAAAAGCCCGGTTACTGCTCCAGCTGGCAACGGACTGTGGCATCATCCACATGGTGCTGGTTTTAGGCACATGCAGAACACAAGAGTTCTGAGGTTAAAAAGGCTTCCACCTCTATTTCAAAAGGCCTGGGTGACCAGGCAGTGTGCCCCTGAGAGGGCAGTGTGTGAAGCTGTAAACAAAAAACCAAAAATACAGTACAAACCCCAAAGTTTAAAAAAAAAAAAAAAATGTGGATTATCTAAAAAAAAAAAAAGCTGCAAGGAAGAAACAAAATAGGCCTAATAGAAAAGCTGCGGGAACTACAACCACCAAAAGTGCCATAGGGGTGGAGTCACGCAAGCCCTTTGGAGCTCACAATGTGCCATAGATTGCTTCAGATGCTAGACATAAAACTACAGGTCTTAATGTTTGCTGTGCTAGATTTTGGACTTGCTTTGGTCCCATTCCTTTGTATTCCCGTTTGTAACTTTTAAGATAAAAATGCTTATTTTGTGCCATTAGATGTGCTTACCTTTTCATTTCTACAGGGACTTACAACTAAGAGTTTGCCTTAGATCTCAGAGGAGACTTGATACTTGGACTTTTCAGCAGTGCTGAAACTGTTAGGACTTTGGCACCTCTTACAGATGGGACTAAATGCCTTTTGCGTAAAGGGATATGCATGAGTCTTTGGTGGGGGCGGAATGTTATGGTTCTAATGTAATATAATGTTGACAGACTTAATACTGATTCTTAAGGATTGTTAAACCTGTGTTATAATGTTCAAGTTGTAAAATGATAAAAAATAATGTCTTTGTATCTGAAAACTGGTTTTAAAAAATGTGTCTGGCTGTCACGTTGACAAGGGGTGGATTGTTATGGCTGATACACTGTGTCAATTTACAAAGTTTAAAAGGTTAACTATGTGTAACTCAGCAGAGAGCCAGGGTCCTTACTTTGTATTTATCCTGAGTCTGTGCAAGAGGAAGGCCTGAAGATGATATGGGGATGGGCAGACGGCCAGCATACAATTAAAAAAAATAAATAAATAAAGAGGCTTGCCCCCTCCTTTTTGCTCTTGCTGCTTTTGCTGTCTTGTGCCACCTTACATTGTTGCCCCTGTGCCTTACCACCCTGCCTTAGAGCCAAGTGATTACAGACTAAAACCTCCACAAACTATAAGCTAAATAAATCTTTCCTTCCTTAATTCTGGGTGTCAGATACTTTGTCTCACCACCAACAACAAAATAACCAAGACAAAATTTGGTACCAGGATAGCTCATGTAAACTGAGCGTGGGGGTGTATGTTTGTAATCCCAGCATGCTGGAAGACTGAGGCAGAAGTATTGCCAAATTTGGCCCAGTCTAAGAAACTCAAGTCTTAGTCAGATCCCATCTCAAAATGAAAAAAATTTTAAAGGTATAGGAATATAGTTCAGTGCGGAGGTCCTGGGTTCAATACCCAGTACCACCAAAACAAAAATGCTAACAAATAAAAACAGCTCTTCCATCGTTAGGTGCATGTACCTATCTACGGTAGAGCTGGCCACATATTAAAGTCCAGAGTATTATCTGATCCAGGTTGGATAAGATAACCTACGCCAATATAGTCAGTCCTAAAATTTCTGCAGTAATTTTTGGGAAGATATATTCTCTTGCTATCTAAATTTTTGGACTACTATGCTATAATCCTGCAGCCATGGAAGAAAAGCCTATTTGGGAATCAAATAAAGCCAAGAAAAGACCAGCATATCCTTAACATTTCTCTAATACCTACATCTCTAAACACCTAAGACAGTGAGCACGCTTCTCTGCTTAAACAAATCTAACTTGGGCTTGAAAGAATTCTGATCACTCATGATGAATGTAATCATTATGTACTGCAAACGTGTGCTAATAAAAAAAAATTTTGAAAAAGAGCTTGTGGTCCACAAGTAGAAACATAGAGGAGAGAAGAGACACACAGAGAAAGAGAAAAGGACGAGAGCATGTGACTATGGAGGCACGGACTGGAGAGTGCAGCCCCTAGTCAAGGAATGCTCAGGACCGCAGAAGACAGCAAACCCCAGAGTCAGGAACCCTCAAAGGTGTAGACCGCCAGCATTTGGGTTTTGGGCCTCATGAACTGTGGAAGAGTAAATTTCTGTTGTTTTAAGCAACTCAGTTTACAGTAATTTCTTACCGCAGCCACAGGGAGACACATGCATATATATTACAATGTCAAAGCAATGTAAAATATATGTATTGTGAAGTCTTGCTTTTATATGTAATCAACTGTATTAGATTCCCTTGTATTTTTCTAGGTTTTTAAATATAAGAAAACATGAAAAAACTTCTAATTACCTAAACATT